GTACTTTACCAGTGGAGCTTAATACAAAATATTGACATTTTAAAAGCCTCAGCCAAGCCCCATTGAAGCCAGAGAGACTCTGAGCACGTGCTGGGCTGAGACTTGGGAACCCTGGAAGGGCTGTGCCATCTTCCACTTTTTGTTGTTATCTTTATCTTAACATTTTGGAGGAGCTTAAAAAGCCAGAGCAGTGCTACGGATAATTTCAACCTCGTAGTCACAAGGAAAGGGAGCAAATGTGCTTTGCTTTAATCTGGATAGGCCACAGGTAAAAAACTATTTCCTTCCTTTGCCAGATTTTCTGTATCTCTTCTTCATGTCTAGGAATCTGTTCCTGAATATAATGAAACCTCAGGACAGCTTACATGGGTCAGAGCAAACCCAAATTAGTTCTGCCCCTCTTGCAAGGATGCTGTTTGTTTATGAAAAGCAATAATTTGTTCTTCTGAGAATCCAAAAACTTTGTGACAGCACCAACATTTCCACCCTGCCTAGCAAAAAGAAGGAACATTTCTTTTGGAGACCTTTGCTAGTGAAATTCAAACTAGGGTTGATATGGTTTTAGCATTGGCCTGCAGGGTCTGAAAGTGGTTTTAGAAATGACACAGACTCTGAGATAGAAGAAACAAAGTTCTCCAAAATCTCTCCAGGCTGTCTGAGAGTCTTGCTAGAACAGCCACAGTCCTAAACTGTGTTTGTGCTCTGAAGTTTCACAGTGTCATTTGAACCCTGCAGTTCGCCTGGAAGTTTCTTTGTTTGGATTTACATTTTAACTTTGGCTGAGGGACCACAAATCAGTTTTTTTAATGTCAGCCTTTTTACCAAGCATGTGGAGAAATAGAATATATTCTCATTAACCCTAGTGAAAATAGGAGCTTTAGTGAGAGACTTCAGAGCAGAGTCCAGCACCAGGCAGGCTTGGGAAGCACAGCTGGTTTGCTTGGATCTTTCTGCTTCTGCAGATTTTATTCACGTCAGCTGTACCATCGAATATGTCAGCTTTTGGGCTCCTTTGAGTCCTGCAGAGCTCTCAGCAAAGTGAAACAGAGGAGATAGGCAGCTACCTACATCTTTTTGGCCTTGCTTCATGTCTGTTGACTTTCAATTTTGCTTAAAAAACCCCACCACCTTTTCTCTGCTTCTTTCAGCAGTCCTTCTTTTTCGTGCCAAGGAAATGCTTGTTTTTAAAAGTTGTGGCCTCCCTGCAGCTGGTTATTAACAGCAGGGCTCGGGAAACTTTCACAGCCTGTCTGGGAGCTTCCCAAGGTGTCTGTGGGTCTCCATAGGAGATTTTGGGGTGCTGTGGCCATCGCAGACCTTCCCACGTGTGTCCAGCTGTGCAGTTTGTGGCGAGCAGCCTCGTGGCCGTGCCCAGCCCGGCGGTGCCTGGCGCCAGCGCCCGCCCGCCTCCTGCCAAGCTGGACACAGCTCTGACAAAGAACAACTGTTTGGAGGAGTTGTTGTCTTGCTTGGTGCTCCTAATCCCTGGAATAACTGCTGTGACAAGCATAGTAACCATCTGCAGTGAGGCTGACACATTGGTGCCTTTCAAGTGCAAGGATCGCAGCCACCTCCTCGGCCCCTTTTTTCGTGGCTTTTCAAAGATTTTCAAAAGCAAAATGAGGAGTTGGAAGCTGAAGCCCTGGATGAGTTGTCAGGAGTTGTAGTCATTCTAAGGTGACTTTTGGAAATGTTACTTTTAACTGTTTGAAGAGTATCTAGCACACTTCAGCTATTTATATTACTTTTTAAAATCATATATGAAGCCCCACAAGTCCATTTTACACATCCTGGGCATTTGGAGAATATATGTCCAATTTTGCTCAACATTCCCAGCCTTAGAGAAGGTTAGACTTCGCAGTTTAAAAACAAACTGGTAGGAGAAGGCGTGTGTCTGCTGATTTCTGTGCAGACTCTGATGTGCACTAATCCCAGAGCACTAACTACTTTTTACCTTCACTAGAGCCTGGGCTGTGTGGTTGTCCTGCTATTCTCTGAAGCAGGCTGCTGTAGTATCCCGAGCACCAGGATGTAGTGCAGGGTTTAGGCAGGCTTTTTTGCATTTGGAGGCATGTCCACCCTATGGATTTATGTCCTCATACATCTGCAGCAGTACAAACATACAGATAGATGTCCTGCACTGGCCAATTAGTTTTTATTGCCTCACTCAAAATTTTCCAATTTATATAAATGCAGAGAGTCTGTGTTCTAGATTTGCATTTTTTGCATGGTAATCCTTTGGGATTTTGATTTACACTGAAAAATTTCTTATAAGTGTAGTTTTTTGACATTAAAAGTAATTATTACATTCCAGTTATGACCCTTGAGGTGGGCCATGCTGCTTAAAGGAAAACTGCCCTGTTTGCATATGGCAAATCAGCTAAATGAGCAGAACCTCTGTTCAAGTATCTGTCACTCTGTTGAACTGGTAATTTGGTGATTTGACCATTTCCCTGGGTATTTGAGAAGAGCTAAGCAGGAGCTGTGCTTGCGAGACAAGGCAGATGGCATCATAAATACATAATGGAAATGAAGCCAAGCCCCAGGAGGGGAGGCTTTGGGGGTGGATGGTCATGGCCTGTCTGGATCCAAAGCCCTGGAGAGCAGCAGAGCCCTGGGTGCAGCCCTGGGGAGGAGGGGATGTTCCCCAGCTCCCACCTTCTTCCCAGCAGCTCGAGGCTGCATCCTGCAGCTGTGGAACAATGACCCAGATCTGCTTTCACACCACAGCTGGGGACACACAGGCTGCTTGTGTGACAGGGAAATAATGAATTCTAATTCCCTTTATCTTCTGGTGTAAGGTCAGAAAAGCAAAGTTTCCTACTCTGAAAAACAGAGGGAAGAGAGGAGAAGGGTTTAATTGCTTATTTGAATAAATTGCCTCAATGTTTAAATTTTTTAACTCCATGAGAACTTTGCTAGGAAATGTTATTTTCAAGCAAGGGCTGAAAAGGGAGCTCAGTCTGTGAAAACTCAGTATTTCACCTCTCTGCTGTTTTTCCTCTGCTTTTTTGAAGAGGATTTACCTCTCAAAGGTCATGCTTCTTCATGCCCACCAGCTGGCAGGAGGTGAGGCAGGAAATGCCCATTTGTCTGTGCTTCCTTGGCATGGTGCTTCTCACCTCCCTTCCTCCCTCAACAAGAATTATTTTTATGGCACTGACAAAACAGGATGGTGGAGCTGATAGACAAAAACCAGTTCAGGAGCTCCCAGCAGAAGCTGTCACTGAGACACTTGGCACATGTGGAGATCAGGTTTCCTCTAATTTCTTTTTCCATTTCTTTTTTCCTCTGTTCTTTTCTTTTTTGTCATTTTGCTGCTTTTTTTCATTCCTTGCTTTTTAGTAAGCAGTTTCCTGGGAGAACCCCACGGAATGCAGGGTTTGTTATGCACAGAAGCTCTGAGATGGCATCCATCCCACCCGTGCTGTGTTGTAGCACTAGCAGGTGCTTTCCCAAATCATTTCTAAGTGCAGTGTAGACACTGTAGGGAACAGCAGATCAAAATCTTGAGCTGGGCAGGTTAGAGAGCAGGAAACACCGTGGCAGACACGGCCCAGCAGTGGGGAGAGGAGCTGCTCCCAAATACTTTCATCAGACAGGTCGAGGGTTCAGGACATGCAGCTGCTAACCCAAAGTGCAGCAGAGGAAGCCATTTGAACTGTAGCTGCTCCAGTCAATTGGCCTTTTGCCCTCTGAAAACCTGGGATCCCAATAAAACCCTGTCATGGTTGGGTCCCCAGCTGGGTGGTGTTTGCAGCTGCTGGTGACCAGTGTGGGATTTATCAGCGTGGAATCAGCCGTGACCTGTTTATTCCTCGGCTGATAAACTCAGTAAGCTCCATGTGTTTGGTGGAATCCTCCATGTGTGTTCTGCTCCTTGGGCCAGACCCTGACCAGGAAAGTGGGGGCTGGATCAAATATCCACTGGGTTTGATAGATCTCTCCTATGACAGGGGGGGTCACAAGGACTTGTGTGCTTCAAAATGTGTGAGATGAGTGTGCCCTGCAGTGGGAACTGTCTGCATTGCTCTTAATGCATCTTGAAACTGGAAAATATGAGCTTTTGGCTTACTTTATGACTCAAAAAGTGTGAATCAGCTAATGAACTAATGAAAACCTGAAATTTTGCATGGCATTTTAAGATGAAAAGTGTTGCAAATACTTGTGCATTTCCTGCTAATTCAATGGTAGCATTGCTGCATGTGAATGAGCCATTGGGGGGCACCTTTGAACTCCTGTGTTCACAAATTTTGGACATTCATCTGCTCCTTAGCTGGGCAAATCCTGGTGGCTTCAGTAGGGACAGGGTTTGCCTGAGAAAGTTAATTTAGGTGCTTGGTGAAGACACACCTGAACAGGCAGATTTTGTTTTCATATGTCACAACGAACTTGTTTTGGTTTTTATAAATTATTGGCGCTTTATTTGGTTTTGGATAAATTAAATGATTATCGAAATGTATTGGATTTTGGAGTTTTTGGGTTATTTTCTTTTTTATAAAGGCAAACTTTTCCTAAAGTCTCACTGGTTCACCCAGAAGAGCTTTGCCTGTATTGATAGAATTCCAGCTGGAGGGGAGGCAGGTGCTGGGATGTGGTGGTGTAGAGCAGCAGGAGCTTTGGGGAAATGGGGCTGGGAGTGCTCTACAGGCTCTTGGTGCTGCATGTTACCAGATCCTGCTCACACCCTGATGAATTTTGTGCAAAGTAGAAAGAACTGTGTAAATGAGTGCTTAGAGTGACTCTATGAGACATATTGAATTTTATGCTGCAGCTGGAGAAACTTATCCTTAATTGAAGCTGTGGGCAAATGTATGTCATTTTTGATTTAACATTTTCCCTCACCCCTCCACCCCCACCCCAACCAAAATCCTTCGTGGAGTCAGATTGTTTCTGTAGCTTTGTGAACCCCTCTCTTCTAATGTTTAATCAAGTGCTGAAAAGAGACATTTAAAGACTATTTAAAATGTGGAAAAATTGCTTCCCAATATTTTTGACAGAGAGAGACTGAGAACACACAGCATTGAATCATCAGGAAAATTGAAGATTTCCCCTGAGCAACATTGGGATTTTACAGCAGAGGACTTGAAAGACCTTGGAGAAATTGGACGAGGCGCTTATGGTTCTGTCAACAAAATGGTCCACAAACCAAGTGGGCAAATTATGGCAGTTAAAGTAGGTGATGCCCATCCTTACATTTGTACTTTAGTCCTTTGGGATGCAGTGTGATGGAGAATTAAGTTTCTTCCATCTAGCACCCATCTACTGCTCTGTTCTATTTATTTCTGGTGTAAAGGCTGCTGTTTGCTGAAAATACAGTGTATAATGGGCATGTTTTCAGGTGATTTGTGAAGTTCTCATAATTGCTGTGCCCTTTTCAAAATGTCTATCAGGAGCCTGCTGTTCTGAGGGGATCACACGTCTCTGGAGACTGATGATGGGGCACGGGCCTTTCACCTCTGGGTCACTGGTTCAGGTACAGCCTAGGCTGGTGGTAGGCACAGCTTGACATCTTGTAGCTTCTTGGTGTCTTTTGTGAAATAAGGTAATGGCTTAAAATTAGCTGTTTATGTCAGCATGTGCCGTGGTGTGGCCTCACCAGGAGGAGCTGGAATGGAGTGGATGTCCTCTAGGGAATGTTGTGCTCTTGCTGCTGTGTGATGGAGTGTCTGCTTTGTGCTCACCATGTCAGACTGTCCTGGAGGTGGAAAGTCTAGCAGGTTTCTTGACTGTCCATTTTCTACTTTATGCTACCCGAAAACTCACTTTAGAACCAGGAACAGCCTCCTCTCCCAGCTGGGCAGTAATTGCCTGTCTTGCCAGAGCAGTGCTGCTCACTGGGCATCTTTGAGGAGCTGCTTGTCCATGGAGGTGGGCAGCAGCTGTTCTCTGTCTCTCTGGTCCTTTCCTTTGCTCACTGCAGGTTGCTGATGACATCTTTCTTTAACTCTGTCGATGATATCAACTGCAAATGCTCTTATGGCTCCCAGGAGAAAGCAGAAGTGAGCTGCATAGGAGTCTGTGTTGCTGTCTTTTCCAACTCTCTGCCTTCTTCAGAATATTCTCTGGAATCTGGAGACATTTGCCCCTGCTGGTCTCGCATGCCAAGCAGACGTATCTCAGCCCCAGCTGCTCTGAATGTAATTCCTACCTGTCTCTGGTGTGTCAGGTTACTGGAGTAACCCTCATCCTTTGATCTTCTCCAGTAAATACTGACTTCCTCACAGTGCTGGGATCACTGGCTAGGTCTCTTGAGTGGTTTTGATCACCATGCAGTGCTGTTTCAAGCTGGGTTTGAATGCCTGAAAGTCTCCAGTGGAGCTAGAGGTTGCCTGTAGCTAAAGGCTGGTTTCTTTCAGTTGCCTTTGGCAGAACTCACGGGTGTAGTTTGCAGGTGACAGGTAGAAAAACATTGGTGTAGTGAAATGATTCCTGGACAGCTCCATCTTCTCAGACTCCGGGTGTGTGACCTGGGTAGCTGTAGTTTTGCTGAGGGTGTGAAAGGGGCACATCCCCAGAGCTGAGTGGCTGTTTCCTGGAGCTCTGCAGTGGCTACAGCCGTGTGGAGAAGGACTTTGCTGGATTACCTTGTGTCATGGAGAAGGTGTCTGATGGCACAGGGCTTCTCTTGTCCCACACTGTTTGCACAAGGGCTTTTCAGCACCCTGGGTGAGCCTTGTCACTGTTGAGGGCCCGTGGTGCAGGTACAGCCATGTGGGAGGCAGAAGGCACCACCTCTGTGTCCTTGGAGCAGATGGCACAGTGCAGCGTGTTGAGCTGGCTTTCCTGAGGGATGAGATGTGCTCTGAGCCTCGGGAGTTCTGGGCTTGGGGGCTCGCTTTTAAACAAGTAAATCCGCTTTGTTTATAGTGAGTAAAGCTAAAGCTGTGGGCTGGGCTGGTGCCACCTCCTTTTCTCTGGCCCTATTTCTTTTGGGTGGACATGGCTGGGAAAGAAAGGTTGGAGGGTTTGGGCAACAACATAATTTCTAAAACAGTAGTGGTAAGCAACTGTTCTGTTTGTCCCAGTGGGGAGAAAACACAAAATTGAGCAAAGGAAGACCTGTGAGTGGAACAGTCAGTGAGGCCTCCAAGGCAGCAGCAATTCCCCAGACTGGATGGTGCAGTTCTTTGAGATGAAGTTTCAGGATGAGGCTAAGCTTGGCCTAGTGACTAGCTCATCCCACACTCCTCAGATTTTCCTTTCTCAGCCTCCTGATGCTTTTGGGGCAGCTCTGGCTGTGCATTAATCTTCTGCTCCTTCTCTGTCTTAATCTGTCCATGTCTTAACAGTCCAGGAGGGGACTGTTCCCCTCCTGCTCTCTTCTTCTCTCGAGCTTTGTGGTCTCTTCACTGTGGAACTGTTGCCTTCAGTCCTGTGTTCTCCTTCAGCATAAAGCTCTTCTCTAAGAGAAGGTTGAGAAGGAAAATTGTGCTTTATGAAAATGTGTCAGTTTAGTGAGGTCTTGGCTATGATCTCTGTGGCACCTGCAGCTCTGAGGTGTGGCACCATGCTGGGGCAGGTGACAGGATCCCTTACAGTGGAGCCAGTGTCTGGTTATTTGCTTGAGCTGCTGTTGTTCCTGTGCTTCCCCAAGAGCAGCACCAGTGCAGCAGGCCAGGCATCCTTGGAAGGACGTTCAGCACAAGGAAACAGCTTTATGGAAGCTGCAAGACAAAAGTTAGCTCTTCTGTACTGCTCACTAGATGCAGAGAGAATTGGTACAGGGGCCTGTCCCAGCTACTTCTCCATCCTTCTCCACCACTCCCCACATTTCCACTACTGTTGGCTGCAAATTCCCAGTGCGGTCAGGAAATTCCTACCCCACTTCTGGAAGGGCTGTGTCCTGCTTGCTGCTACCATGACCAGGCTTCTCACCCCATTCTACCACAGGGAGATTCAAATCCTCCTTGTTTTGCAAGTGTGCAGCTTAAAACATTGCTCGTTTCCCCTTGCTGGAGTCTTCCTCTGGCTGAAGGCAGCTCCTGCTGTGCCAGGCCAGCTGGGCACCTCTGGTCACTCATCCTGCTCCCCTCAAAGGGTATGGCTGCCAGGACATATCTTCAAACCCTGTTCCCAGCTCCTTTCTCTTGCTTTTTGTAGCCTGTCCTGCCTTTGCCCAAGGAACAGTTCCTTGAAGCTTCCCAAGCTTTCCCCTGCTTGGGAACGTTCAGTGTTGCAGGGCACATGGGCTCCTGTGCCCCTAGCACAGCCTTTTTTAGCTGGATATCTAGTTTTTCTTACCACTGAAGGAAAACAATTCCTGAGGGCTGAAATGTCACCAAAATAACTTGAGATCTGCAGGTGGAGACACTGTTTTCTTTCATTTCCCTTGTAACTCATTTTGGACTATCAGCCCATGCTGATGGTTGTAATTTCTGTCCTGGCAGATGCAATCCTTTAATGAGTCTCCTGGAATGGGCAGGGCTGCCAGGCCCTGGGTGAGTCAGGCTTTCCATCTGTGCTCCAGAATCAGTAGAAGAGGAGGAAAATGATCCTGAAATGAGCCTCATTGTGTCTCTGGCTAAAAGGACTGCAGCAAAGCTTTGGCAGGTGGAGCATGGCTGGGATGATGAGCTCTTGTGCCCTGTCCTGCTCCTCCCTCTCCTTTAGCCTTGGTCATTCTCTGTGAATACTGGTTTCAGTGACAAAAAGACATTCTGTCCCTCTTTGGGAGCAGGCTGGAGGCTGGAGTGGGCTGCAGGAGCAGGGACCTGGTCCTCCTGTTGCTGCCACCTGCAGTTGTTTGTGCACCCCTTATGCTTTCTGCAGAGAGAGCTGCAGGGAGAGCTCTCAGGAGGAGGGGAGAGGATGAAGGAAAGAGGGATCCAAATCAAGAGGATTTACAATCAAATTTCTCATGTTTGCCCCTAGAAAATATTGCATTATGTTTTCCTAATCATCCAAATTTTTATTTCTGAATAAAAACCAATCCTTTCATTCTTTAGGTCGTTTCCTTTCAGATCTTCCTGGAGTTGCACCTTTTTACTCTGGGTCAACTGCCATCACAGTCTTCCTGTCACTGAAAATACACTTTTCATTTTCTTAAGGATTTTTTTGGCATATGAGGTCAAGACTTTTCCAGGTGGGAAAGAGAACAGCCCAATTTTGTCCAGTGCCAGATCTTGCTATGCAAACCAATAAATGCAAGGCAAATTTATATGTTGAATCCTCACCTTGTCAGGTCTCTCTTCCTGGGAGAAATCTCTTTTCCTGGCTGGTGTGTGTCTGCTGCACCAGCTCTTTGTGATCATGCCTGGTCAGGCTTCCAGTTCTACCCACTATCCTTTGATTTTTGCTTCTGGTTTCTTGTTTTTGTGTTAGTCTGGTTTTTCCCTCTCTGTGGCAGTCCATAAGTGACTTGTGACCATTGTCCTGGGCTTCCCACTGCGCAGAGAGCCCTGGTTCCTCCTCAGGATCTGCTCCAATGCTGTCCTGCTTTTGTCTGAGAGGCTCCACAGTAGATGCAATTCTCCAGCCCTTTTTGTATTTGCCCTCCAGTGTGGTGTTGTCCCATCTGCTCCAGGGACTGTGCCTCTTGTTCTGTGAGGGTACCACAAACTAGAGGCACATAGAGAAGCCCCATTTACTTGGAGGAAATGTTTTCTTGGGAAACTCACCCAGCTGCTGGGGGTTGTAATTTCTGGCCTGAGGTTTCCTTCTGGCCCTGGTGATAGTTCACACAAAAGGAATCCAGATCCCTGGAATATGAATTTAAAAAAAATAGCCCAAACTGTAGTGAAAACTGAGGAGCATTCTTCCAGTTAGAGCAGGATGCTCTGCTTTGCACTTAAATGCTGTACAGGGTGTGGGTTCTATTAGCCAGGGTGCTTCACAGTGCCTCTGGAAAGCTGGGAAAGCTGCTTGTTTGAAAAGTTCATAAAATAAATAAGAACATATTTAAAACAGTCAGCCTTTGATGTGTTGAGTGGCTCTTGTACAAGTCAGGAGCCTAAACACAGCAGTGGTGTTCCTGGCAGTGATGTCTGAGCCTCAGGCTCAGGGAGATCTTCACCTGCTCCTCACCTCTTCTGCCCTGCAGCAGGGAACACCTCAGACATCATCTGGGGTTCACCAGCAGCAGATTCTCCCAGTTTTGTTTCAACCAGTTCAGCTGGCTGAGAAATACATCACCAAGAGACGAATGGAGTGGTTTGTGCTTTGCTTGGCCTTCAGGCTTCTTATCACTGCCCCATGGAAGCATCTTGCACTTCTTTTTAATTGAATTATTTTTCTATCAGGGATGGTTACAGCTGGGAGAGTAAACCAGCTGGGGGAAAGGGTGGTTTTGTCCACAGTGTTCAATTTTCCTCCACCTCAAAAAAAAGTGATTTTCACCTGTAGGCCAGAATTTTCTGTGTCTTCTGATATCCTCAGCCTGGGTGACTTAGTCCCACTGCAGCATTGCCTAGTCCAGCCTCCACTTGCAGTGGACACTTACAGTGTCCTCTACAGTCAGTGTTTTCTCTTCAGTTTAACAATATTTTTGATGTGCTTTACTTCTTCTCTAAACTTTTCCTAATGAAATCAGAAGCATTTTCAAGATCAGTTGGGTAATTGGAAGTGTCAAACCCATGGGCCCATAAAAGATCCCTGTTGTTCCTGGGGAGACCAGTAAGCCCTGGAGCTGTTTCTTGTTCTGAGCACAGTGTCTTCTGTACATCATTTTGGTAGTCAGGGCTTGTTCTCTCATCCACAGCTTCAAACCAGAAGTTCCTGTCTGACTTTTTCAGGTTTCTCGATGGTAGTCTCACAGCTTAAGGAGGTTGCTATGTATCAAATGCTCCTGAGAGCAGAAATGTAACATTTATTTATACCTCCGTGGTCCCTCCATCCTTTCCTAGGTGCCTGATAGCCCATAAAGACCATCAGAATGATACATTAGTATATTTAGCTCCGTCCAGAGGCAAAATTTCTCTTCCTTTCCATGTCCCTATGACTTCCAAGGAGAAGTCTTGGGGTTTTATTGCCAAACCCTCATTGTAATTCTTCACACAATTAAGTGACACCTTCAGAATTTTCTGTCTCAGTCATTTGTTTAGGTCTGCTTGCTGAGAGCTGGGGAAACCAGTGTTCCCAGTCCTGTTGGTAGGGCAGCTGGGGAGGGAGTGGATGAGTAAGAGCTGGAAAGGAATGGTGAGAGAGTTAGAGCCTCATCACAGGAGGTGGGAAGCTAGTTGTGATCTGCTTCAGTCAGCATTAAATGTGTTTCAGATGGGGAGATAGATATTCCCATCTTCAGCAGTGACTGGGCAAACCCTCTCTTTGCTACTGGTTTGTTGTCCCAGATCCCTGCCATCCCATGGAATGCCCACTTCTCCCATGGCACTGCCAGGCACTGCTGTGCTGAGCTTTCAGCTGAGGACACAGGTGAGCCCCATTCTCAGGGCAGTTCTGGATTGTCTCACAGCTCAAGGAGTTGAGTTTCAGTTTAGTGTTTACAGCTTTTTTTTTTTTTTCCTTTCCTTTTTTTTTTGATTTTTTTTTCAACCAGTCACTTCATGCTGCACCTGAACCTTTCTGTGTGCATATTGGGCTGGATGATGTCTCTTCTGTTTTGGATCAAGTTTCTGGAATCTGCCTGGTTTTAGGTTTCAGGGTGGCACAATCCACAGCACAGACTGCTTTTGCTGTTGATGCTGCTCAGAGCATGGCTTCAGAGCTCTTCTTCCTGGTGTTAGAAGGCTTTGTCCTAACCTGTGTTTGAATAAAAAGGGCTGGAGAATTTCTCCTAAGAGGATTTGATACAGTTTAAATTGAAGGCCAACAAGGAATTGTTAAGAAGAAGACTCCATAAGCTTCTACTAAAATCCCCCTTTTTCTGTCTGTGGCTTGTTTGGCTGTGGGGTCACTTAGCAGTGACTTGTCAGTGGCTCCCAGGAAGGTGGCTGGGCTGAGATCTGTAAGGCCTGAAGTGCAGTCAGCATCCCTGTCTGAACTGCTGCCTTCAAGCAGCTGCCTCACCTTGTGTCTTCCTTCCCTGCCTTGTCCCAAGTTCTTGGGGAGTGTGTCTGTGTGAGCTGCTGCAGTGCTTTGCACCATGCCTTGGGCTTAGGAAAGAGGCTGTATCATGGCTCAGGTGCTGTTTGGCTACTGACTGCTGTTGGCTCTCCTCTCTTCCCTGTTCTGCTGCTGAACTGGGAGTACTGGGCTGCAGCTGAGCAGAGCCACCTTGTGCAGCCTGGGCTGGCCCTGTCTGTGTGCTGTGCTGCATGCTGCTCCTCAGAGTTCTCCCTTTCTCTTGACTTTTTCCAGCAGTGTTGTGTGAGACCTCCCAGTCTTGTATCACAGCATTCCTTTCACTCCCTGCAGCAGTATTTGTTGTAGTGTCCACGCTGGCTTCTCAAGCTGTCCTCTGGCCCGTAGCTGAACCCCTGTCTGTGCTCTGGGTGCTCTGCCAGCCCCTTCTTGCTGGGAGCTCGTGTTTTGAGGAGTGTTTGGGTTCAGTGTTATTCTGGAGTGCCATTAGAATCACCTCCACCACACAGTGTGTATTTCACATGGTTTCCAGTGCTGGAGAAGTAGTAGCACAGGAGGAATGTCAGAGGTGGGAGGAGTGCTTTGAGGAGAAGAGGTTGACTTTGAGGAGGATGCTGTGGGGTTGGCTGGACAGGATTGTGCAGGTGCAAGGGGAGTGCAGAGCAGGGCTGGGACAACTCTCAGAGGACCAGGAAAGAGGCTTTTTGGAGACAGACATGGAGTGGGCACAGGAGGAGAACACATGTTACCATATGGAGAAAAGTTCCTTCTGGTTCCTCACCAGAGGTGATCTTTTCAGTGTGGGTCATGTCTCAGTGAGAGGCTGAGCTATTGGTCATAGGTCTCACCGTGGTGGCTTTGGCATCCATCACCTGTGGAGGTGAGAGCAGTTTCCATTTCACACTTGGAGGGAGGCATTCACTCTGCTCGGCCTTCAGCCCCTCGGGGAATTGCAGAGCTTTGTACGGAGAGGGCACAAGAGCAGGAATCAGCCGGTGGCTGTCTGAGCTTGTGACACAGACCTGAACCAGTGACCTGGAGGTGAAGTGTTTTAGTTCCATTTCTGGCCCGTTGAGCTGCTTCTTGCTCTGTTGGTGGCACAGAACCCCACGTGCTCAGCACATCATGGATATTATGGACTGTGGGTGCTGGAAAGTCTCCTGACAGGTCCCCAAGAACTCTAGAATTCACAGGGTGGGAAAAGGGCAATATAAACATATTATTTACTGGTCTAGACCAAACTAGAGGTGCTAGAACATTAAGAACAAGTGGTTAAATACCAAAATACCAGGATACACTACAGGTAAGGAACATTACAGTGTTGATACTGTCCTTGTTTTGTATGGATCACAAAATAAGTCCTAAAGTACATTATGGTGCATTGTGGTGCTATATGAATGGCCAGCCTTGAAAGTGCCTTCATTCACCTGGCCTGGGCTGGCTGATGTGTGTGGTCCTGATGCCACCAGCAGTTGCCCACAGGGCCATAGTATTGGTGAAATGGGTGCTAGTATCTTGCAGATTTTTTCCACAGGCTTGAATAATTTTTCTTTCTTGGGTAGCCGTGTAGTTTTTGTTCCTGAGGATGGTCCTGGCTACCTCTGTTGCTTTGGACTTCTTGCCAGATATTTTTTCTTGGTTTTTTTAATGGTTTTTCAACATGAGTCACAGCTTCAAGATCACGATTTCCTCACTTGTGATTCAGAGAATGTATTAATTAGTGCAAGATGTTAAATATATCTGTAAAATCACATGAAAAACTGTATGGTCATTTCCATCCTTCATTTAACCAGTTTCATGTTTGAAAATGGACAGTTTTCTGTTTTCAAATGTGCATTGTTCTTTCAAGCCCAAATGAAACTTTCCATAATATATAGTGTATATATGAAGTATAGTGTGTGTATACATATATATCTCTATATACACATGGGGTATGTGTCTATATAAACTATCTTTTATACAGTGTTGATGTTCCCTCAGCCAGTACTAGGTAAAGGATTGTTAGTTTTATGAGAACTTACAGGACTGCTGCCCATCATTAACATTACCAGAGAAATGTGTTCCCTGGGTTATGTGGCAGTCCCTTCTCCCCAGCTGTGGTGGAGCCTGTGGAAGGAGCTTTTTTGGCTTCTTAGAAATTTTAAACATTATGTTCCTTGGTTTAATTTCAAACCAGTCTTCAAGCCCCTTCCAATGGCTAAGAACTGTGTGGGAATTTGTTTTGAAATGAAAGCCTGGATTTGGTATTTTGCTGTAGTTTTCAATAAAATTTCAGCTCTTTAATTTCTTCCTGACATTTCATGTGAAAGTGTTGATACTTCTGTGAGGACTGAGGGCTTTATAGCCTGATTAAACAGCTTTAGAAGTGTTCAGTTACATTTCTTATTTGAGAGCACTGCTTGATTCTCCAGAGTGTTTTTGAGCATGTTTGGGTTTGGGCTTCTGGTCACTTGTCTCCACCAGCAGGGCTGAGGATGCAGTAATGGCATGGAAGTGATGAAGTCTCTGCCACTCTTCCTCTTTCAGAGAATTCGGTCGACAGTGGATGAGAAGGAGCAGAAGCAGCTTCTGATGGACCTTGATGTAGTGATGAGAAGCAGTGACTGCCCGTACATTGTTCAGTTTTATGGCGCACTCTTCAGAGAGGTGGGCACCCCAAACTTGCTTCACTTGTAGCAGACTTTGGGTTTTACCTTGTTTTTCCCCCTTTGTCATTTCAAACTCGTGCTAAGGAGGAGAAAATTGATTTAGGTTAGGTTTCTTGGTTCTCCACTTTTACTGAAGGGTGTTTAGCCAGGAGATCCAGGTGTCTGGGCACTTCTGAGCAAGACTTTGGTCCCTTTTCAACAGGAGTTTTGGAGAAGATGAATGTTGAAATCTGACTGCTGCTTCTCCTTCCTCCTGTGTCTCCTCTGCAGGGTTGGATTATCCCTGCTCCTGTAATTGCTCTGTTGTTGAAACTGCCACAGTGTAGGGGGACAGACATGGAGCCCTCACCTGTTTTCCATTACTTCAGCACAAATCCAGTACCTCTGCTCAAGGGAAGGAGGAAAATAGAGACCTAAGGGCTGCAGGTGGTCTTTGGGGATTATCAGGCATAGCAGCCTGTGCAGAATCTTGTGGGGTTTTACTGGAAAACATTTAGAGAGAGGTCAGTGTTGTAGGTAAAACCCAAAACTGTGTCTGAATATTTAATTCTTGCTTCTAGAGAGTCTGCCTCTGTAATTTTGCCAGGTCACTCCTCTGGCTTTAAATCACATTCTCTAAACTCAGCACAATAATCCTTCCTTTTCCCATGGTCTGCTTTTTCTGATCATTTTGAACACAGAGCCATTTTGGGCCAGCAGGCATTGTCCATGTTCACACAGTACAAGCTCCTACTGTGTGTGGAGCCTCAGCTTGGCTGGAAATTTCCAGCTTTGCTGAGATAAAGGTGGCAGGGCTGTCAGCTGGTGTGAGGAAAGGTCTGTGGACAAAACAGTGTTTTAGCAGATGCTAATGAGCAACATGCTCAGAGCTGTGCAAGCCTCTCACCTCCCTTCAGCTCTGGACACATCCCAGGGTGTAAATGTAAATACATAAACAATATAAAAACTTATTTAATCAGCACCCAGATGTCAGCTTGACTGCACTCTTTGTTCAAAATCTCATCATCCTGCAGCCAGGCAGGGCTCCCAGGGCTCCTTGCATGCTCTGTTTGGGAAAGGTTTCATTGGCATTGCTCTGGTTGGAGTGAACTCCCCTTTTTCCCCTTCAGCATAAGTGGTGTTTGCTTCAGAGATGAAAGCAGCCTTCTCCTCTCCTTGGTCCCTCACTGCCTAGGGATGCTCCAAGTCATGTTCCTCAGGGGTACACAGGGTGAGCTGGGAGGCTTCCATAATGTTTTCTGTCTTGTCCTATTAATTACTTGTTCCAATATTATTAAGTAGAATCTTAATATTTTAAATATAGCAAAGTATGGCACCAGAGAAGCACAGGAAGGGAAAAAAGGAATTTCATCAGGATGTTTGGATCTGCCTGATCCCCCAATCTGTTTATCAGATCTGTTCTCAAATAATTGTGAAAGATCCAGGTCACTGCTGCACCATCCCCTGAGGTGTAAGAGCTCGTGGGACATTGGTAAAGACTAAAACTCTCTCAGGAAATCTGCAGCAAACTATATAAACCAAAGCTCTTTGTTCCAGCATTTCAAGGTGAAAAGTAAGGAAATCCTTTTGGAATTCCCTACTCTGAGCTGGGATTCAGGTTCTCTGGCTATGGATGGAGCAACCAATGAGAAATCTTCTTTGTCTGCTCCTAAAAGGTGAAAGACTCCATGTGAGCCTCTTTTACAGGAGTTTACCAGGCTGAGCAGGCAGCTTGTGCAGCCAGAGGGTTGGCAGGATCCAGGCAGCTCCAGGAGAAGCAGCAGGGCAGCTGGCACAAAGGGAAGGCAGGCAGCCTTCCACAACAGGGAGTGTTTGATGTGGAGAGGCAGAGCTAAGCTCTGGGATCCTGACAGTTTGGGAATACTAAACCAAAAATTGGATGAAATTATGCAAGGTCTTACTTTGTAGCCAGACAAGCATCCCAGCTTGCAGTCAGGGAAGTAGCTGTGAACACAAGTTCCTGTGGCAGCTTCTGTGAATACCAGCAGTTTGATTTGGAAAAGCAGAAAATACTACACAAAAAATTTCTGTAGTTGTATTTTCTCTTGCTTGTTCCACATTTTGTGACAGGGAGAGTCTTCTTTGGGTCCTGCTTGTCCCTCAGCAGGCAGCACCTGAACCCTCATCATTTGCTGCCTGTTCTTCAGTCAGGAGGGACATTTCTGTCACTGTATGTCTGTGCCTCTGATGGAATGTGTAACAGTGCAACCAGCACAGGTTGATTGCCAGGTGCAGGACTTTGCTTCAGCTCATTGGCACCCACTAGATGAGATTCAAGTGCCTGGTCAGTGAAACAAGAGCAAAGCTGGAAAAATAAAAGACAGTGTTTCAGTCTGTGCATGGAATCAGGGGCTTCAGTGCACCATGGCTGGCTTTTTGGGCTGCAAGCACATTTCACCAGCTCACGTCTAATTTTTCATCCACCAGTATCTCCCAGCCCTTCTCCCCAGGGCTGCTCTAAATCCCATCATCATTGTACTGGTGAGTGCCCTGACCCAAGTGCAGGATCTTACACTCACTGAACTTTGTGGCGTTCCCTCTGGCCCCAGGAGCACAGCTGGTTTTTCCATACTGCACCCAGGAGAGCCCAGAGTCCTGCTAGTGCACACAGAGCTGTCCACATCAGCCATCAGAGAGCTGATTGAAGAGGATCTCATGCTCATGTGTTTCCTCTCAAGGCTGTATTTAATAGATGGGGGAAGAAAAAAGTTGGTTGACAGGGGTTCTGCAAACATTTCACTTGAGTCTCTCCTTGTGAGAAAAGAGGAGCTGTGGGCTGAGCCCACAGGGCTGCCCTGGGACCCCCAAGACATTGGCCCTGAGCATTGCTCTTTTGAGAGGTTTTTAGGTCTGAGAATAAAAAAAAAAAAGTCTTCTTTTCTTGCCTGTCTGCTGCAAGCTTTACAGCTGCTCTGGTTTGAAACAGTGCCTGTAAAGCTGGGAATGTTTGGGTAGTTACCATGACCACACTAGTGGCTCTTCAAAGTACCTGTTCTGATTGTGTTTCTCTTTAAGAGGGGAAGAGGAAAGAAGTGTTGTCTGACTTGGAATTTCAGGAGTGACTCCTACACAGTGGAGTGTAGTTGAGCCAAGTTTAAACCAATAAGTTCAATACTTGATAAAATTATTCAATGAAAAATTCATTGTAAGTTGCAGAATCTGGAAGGAAGCTGGGTAAATCAGCCCATGGGAACTTCTGCTGGCAGGAGAGAAGATCTGGGATGGATGTGTTGGTAGCACAGTGCTGGGCTGGTGTGAATTGCTGACACAGCCTTGCTCACTTTGATCTCCTTGCTGTTGATGCACCTCACGCTGTTTTTATGGAAATCCTTGGCTGTGCTGCCATTCCTCAGCACTGTTATCAGTCCCTGGTCTGTAGGGAAAGTGTCCTGTGTGCCATGTAAATATATGGTGGTGGTGACATTTGTCAGTCTCTCTCACTGGTGTAGCTGCAACTTGCATGAAGAGCTGGCTGCCCCTGCAGTGAGCAGATGTGGTAAACCTTCAGTGTTTGCATCACAGAGTGGTGGGTGATAGCAAGGACCTCTGAGGTCACCTTTTGCAACCCCCACGATCAAGTGAGGCCACTTGACCAGGATTGTGTCCAAATAGCTTTTGAATCTCTCCATGGATAGAGTCTCCACAGTCTCCTGGGGCAACCTGTGCCAGTGATTAATCCCCCTCACAAAAAGTGTTTCCTCGTGCTCAGAGGGAACCTCCTGTGTGTCCTGCTCGTGTTGCTCAGCACCACTGAGCAAACCTGGCTCCATCCCCTGTGCAGCTTCCCCTTAGGCTGATGAGGTTCCCCTGAACCTTCTCCAGGCTGAGCAGTCCTCTCTTTATCAGCCTTTCTCATGGGGGGGATGCTCCTGTTCCTCAGTCATCTTAGCTGCCATGTGCTGGAGTCTCTCTTGCACTGGGGAGCCCAGCACTGGTCACAGCACTCCAGGTGTGCCTCAGCATTGCTGCATGGAGGGGAAGGATCACCTCCCTCCACCTGCTGGTGATGCTTTGCCTCGTGCTGTGATCCTTCAGCCCAGCAAAGATGCATTGTTGGCCCATGTTCAGTTTAATGTCCACCTGGAGCCACAGGTCCTTTCCTGGTGAGCTGCTCTCCAGGTGGGTGACATCCTTGTGGCACCTGCTCCCTTGTCAATGGGAATTCTCTGCATTGAGAAGCTGAAGCAGCTCCATTGCTTGTGAAGCAGCTTTTGTATCTGTCCTGGACAGGGATATTTTGAATTAAATGCACAGGGTGTTCCTGGACATGTTTTGGAATGTCTACAAGATGTGCATTAGCATCTGGTAATCTAATACCCAGTAAGGGCTAAAATACATTCTTTGGGAGTATAGCTTGAACAAAAAGAGAAAATTAAAGTGCTTCTTTTGTCATTTTGTGATCAGAAATCAACCTGACTTAAGAGGCAAAATGTAAAATGAAACTCCCATTAGGGTGGTTTTGTCCTCACAGTTCACCATGGAGCAGGACTTGCCCATGTACATCCATCAGCACTTCTTGGTATTTGGTCAGGAAGACAGCTGAGTCCCCAGCCAGTCTTCCTTTTTCTTCCTGTTAAAATTCACCAGTTTACCAACAGATAAGGCTCTTCCAAGTCCCAGGAAGAGTTGGCCTGTAGAGTTTTGGGTCTTGCCACCAACCTTAAGGATGCTGCACAGTGGAAAACGTCTGTTATCTTTTCCCATTGATATTGCTGACATAAATTCATGTAGGGCAGGTAGGTTTTTATATTACCAGATCAATAAATGCCCTCATTCAGGAGTTCTGTATGGCATCTACTTCAGGACATTAGTAAACCAGGTCTTTCCTTGAGTGCTTTTGATCATAAAAGGTTTTTTTTTTTGGTTTTTTTTTTTTTGCTTAAAATTAACCATTGGATAGAAATCTGTTATGCTTATTTGAGGTTTCAGTACCATACACAGTACCAGCCTATGATGCTGAGTGCATGTGGAGCCTTGGTTGTGATAATGGAAGCCACTCCCAGTACTGGTGCAGCTGGACATAAATACAGGGCTGCAGGAGGTCAGTGGTATTCTGGCTCTCTGGAACCACTCTAGTCCCCCACAGACTCAGTGCAGTAGTCTAGGAATATAGCCCTGTCCCCATTTTTTTATAAATCTGATCAAAACAGAAGCAGTTTTTGGATGATCCTGTGGCCAGTAGAACCAGTCCATGAGAGAGAGGATGCTCTCACTACAGACAGCTCATAAAGCTCTGCTGGGCTTCCAGTCTCACTTGATTTATGCACATCACTGCCACTGGAGCCACACTGCCTGCCCTGAGCCACTCTCCATCGTATACAAGTGCTTCATCTGCACTTTGACATTGTTGCTAATGCAGAAAAGAGACATTTTCTACATGTATTGCCCAGTTTTATTTCTGTAGTTTAAATCTGAACAGTTTCTTAGCCAACTTCCTCCCTAGCCAACCTGTGGTCTGTAGCAGCCCAGGTTCACCTTTTTCCAGGTTCCCTGGTGTGCTGGTCATGCCCTCATCCTGCTGTGCTGCTCTGGCCTCTCACTGTGATGTCCCTGCTTTCATGTCTGTCACAACACTTATTGCATCCACTGCTTTTTTTGGGTGCAGTGAGAGTTTTCTGGGCTCAGGCTTGTAGCAGCCCTTGAGTAGATGACCTCAGCTCCTGCTGTGCCTTGAGCTGATGTGGAAAGCCTGATGCCAAATGAGCAGTGTAAGCTGGAGCTACCCATGGCTGTAAACCAGTCTTCTTCCCCAGCCACACAGCCCTTCCTAGGAAAGCAACTCCCCTCTTCTGGGTGTTCCACTGTGCCTGCAGCCTTCTGGAGAGCAAAACACTGTGTGAGGCTTGGATTCGTCTGGGTTCAAGTGTCTAAACTGTAATGCCAGGTGTGAGCTGGGCAGGTAAATGCCTCTGCTGTGAATGGGATCAAGTCTTTCATTGCTAAAACTAATCAAGCTGAATTCCATCTTTTCTATAGAATGCATGTTGCTGTTTATGTATTTCATAGGATTCAGTGGATCTCTGTATGCTCTCTGGATTTGTATTTCTCATTTTTATATCAACAAGTAACACACATTCTTTTCTCTTTCCAGGGTGACTGTTGGATCTGTATGGAGCTCATGTCTACCTCGTTTGATAAGTTTTACAAATATGTATATAGTGTATTAGATGATGTTATTCCAGAAGAAATCTTAGGCAAAATCACTTTAGCTGTGAGTATTTTGTTAAAACTTTTTGTTGAAGATAATTGAAAAGCTCAGATCCTTGTTCAGATCACAGTCCATGTGAAAAGCTGGTTGGTCTGTGGAGCAGAACTGCTGCTGCTATTTGCACCGCACTGGGAATGGTTCTTCAGGGTGCTCGTGACTTTTCCACAGTATGTTGCATGGTGTAAACAGAGCTCCTGGGGTCAGTAATCAGTTCATAAACAGACCCCAGGACCATCTTTCTGCTTTGTCTGCTTGAGTGTGGGCACCAGCAGCACAGACACCAGCCCAGACCAGAGAGGCTTCTGGCAGTCTTCTGCAAAGGCTCCCAAAAGCACTGGAGAACCTGGCTGGTGTTTTCTTCGTATAACCTGGAAGTTCTGGACTAATGAAAAGTCAGATAATTGAAACAGTTGTGACCTGCTGAAAAAATACAGCATAGGGCTTGAAATCATTTATTGCTGAGGATAATTAACATCAGAGATTGTTCTGGCTTCACCCCTTGCTCCCCTCTCCCAGAGTGGGATCTTTGCAGGTCACAGGGAATGTGTGTTCACTTTAGCCCATACTCTCCCCTATATCACCTTTTGTTTGCAGAAAAGGTTCAGAGAAAAATGTTTTGTTACATGGCATATTACAGCATTGATATCTCAATATATTAAATGCTTTTTACCCCTGTTCTTGGAGTTCCAAAAATTTAATAATCACAGGACTCTTACGACATCTGCTTATTTTTAATCTATTTTTCTTTCCTAGACTGTGAAAGCACTAAACCACTTAAAAGAAAACTTGAAAATCATTCACAGAGGTGAGTTCTCCGTGTATTTTTTTAACTTCATGTCTTTTCTTCTTGCCTGTTAAAATAATTGCAAGAGCTGTTAGTGGCCTTTGGTTCACTCCAAGTGTAAACACAGCACCTGTACCGCCGTGAATCTGAGTGCAGGTTTTGAACAAGTGTCCCAGTGCCTGTTCTGTTGCCCCTTCAGCCTGTGCTTTTTCCATGTAAGTGTGTTTTCAGGGTGGCTGGGCATCTGCTGCTGCCTCTGGGCACGTGGCATCTCCGGGGCTGGCTCCATCCCCTCGTGCTCCCATGCAGGATCCAGCGCCAAGGGTGACGGCGCCGGCGCGGCACTGCCGCCCTCCATCCCCTGCAGCTGCTCCGCTTGAAATTGAAACCTCCAGCCGTGACTTACTGCTTTACATTTCTTCCCCCTGCAGACATCAAACCTTCCAATATTCTTCTGGACAGAAATGGGAATATTAAACTCTGTGACTTTGGCATTAGCGGACAGCTCGTGGACTCCATTGCCAAAACGCGGGATGCAGGGTGCCGGCCGTACATGGCGGTGAGTGGAACGGGCTCTGGGGGATCTCACCCTCCCTGGGATCAACCTGTTCCTGTGGGATGAGCTCTGGGGGATCTCACCTTCCCTGGGATCAGCCTGTTCCTGTGGGATGAACTGTTGTATTTATGGGGTGCCCTCATGGCAGAAGAGGAATGATGAATCTGACTCCATGTTCTCAGAAGGCTAATTTATTATTTTATGATACTATATTATATTATATTAAAGAATACTATACTAAACTATACTAAGAATACAGAAAGGATACTTACAGAATGCTAAAAAGAGAATAATGAAAACTTGTGACACTTTCCAGAGTCCTGACACAGCTTGGCACTGATTGGCCAAAGAGTGAAAACAATTCACATGAAACCAATGAAACAACCACTTGTGGGTAAACAATCTCCAAACACATTCCAAAGCAGCAAAACACAGGAGAAGCAAATGAGATAATATTGATTTCCTTTTTCTCTGAGGCTTCTCAGCTTCCCAGGAGAAAAATCCTGAGCAAGGGAATTTTTCTGAAAATATGACTGTGACAATGAACACCCCTTTCCTGGATGAAACTGAGCTCTGGATCAAGCTCTGCTGTGGCAAAGTGTCCCAGTTCCTGGGTTTTTGCTGGGTTCCTCTGCTGCTGCCAGGGCTGTGGTGCTGGAGTGGAGAGGAGCTCTGTGCCTTCCAGCAGCTCCAAAACACCATTGCCCAGGGGAGCAGGGCTGTCAGAGTGTGGGTTTGTCTTGGTCTGCAAGAAATCCATTTGCTCTGGTAAGATTATGTCACAGGAGTTATTGCAGAGCAGAATTACAGTGATTTTTGTAAACCACTTTAATTCCAAAGTGTGCCAGAACTTCATTCCAGGAGAATGTGATTCTGGAGAGCAGCAGTAGCAGAGCAGCTGTGTGGAAATTGCTGGGGCTGAGTTGTGGCTCCTGGGAGTCTGTCCTGCTTGTTTGCTTCCCTCCCCCTCCCAGAGAGAAAAGCTGTAGTGGTGACTTTGGAAGCTGTCTGAGGGTTTTAAACACTTCAGTGGTTCAGGGTGCTTTGAAAATGCATCTCTGTTCTCACATGAGCCAAGGGTAGCTTGTGCACGGAGCTGTGTGCCTGCTGCTGTTCATTTAACTTTAGTTTTAGTGCCTGTCTTTAATTTTTGTTACATATTTATGGCTCTGTATGCTGAAAAACACTGTTTTCTGAACTCTTTTTATCTACCGCCAAGTAGAAAAAAGGAAACTCTCTCTCTTCCAAGGCGTGGCTCCCACCTGGCTCAGGCCATGGCTCTCAGTTGGCTTTTCTCTGACTGTGGTGTCCAAGGCAAAACCTGTGTGCCCTGACTCTGATCTTTCTTTGAGCCAAGGGTGGGTGTTCAGTTCTGCTCAGGCTGTTGGTGTGGTTATGCCATGACAGTTCCTGAGATGTCTGTAAATAGCTGCAGTGCTCCCTTTCCCCGGGGATGGGGTGGGTCAGTGCTTCCATAGCCCTTTGGTGTTCCTGTCTGTCTGTCTACATGCGCTCTGTGATTTGTGCAGCTCCAGTCTCGGGTGGACTTCTAAGTGAGCAAAAGTGTTGCAGTTCAGTTTGTGTTTTTCAGAGCCTTGGCAGGGCACAGGTTTTGTGGGGCAGCCAGCAGCTGGCAAGTGATGTGGGAGACGATTGGCCTCTTCCCTGCTGCTCTGCAGCCTCAGTGACTCCTTTCCAAGTACATGAGCATTTCCACGTACCAGGGAGCCTGGGAAAAGGGGAGATGTCCCCATTGTGCAGGCAAGTCTGCCAGATATTTCTCCAAGCCAGCAGAGGCTGATGTCTGAAGGGATGCTGCGATCAAATTGGATGTACCTGGGAAGGAGTCAGGCTACATACTCCTTTCAAAAGGAAAATAGTATTTTTTTAGTGTAAAATAGGCCAAGAGTAGTAGCTCTGTTCAGCCGGGAGTCTCTCCTTAGGGCTGCTGGGTGCTTCTCCCTGATGATATTGTCTCATTTTGCAAGGCTCACCAACCCCATGGCACTCACCCCTGAAGGAGCCTGGTCCCCACAGGGCTGCTGGTGACAGTGACACTGGATGTCAGCCAGTCTGGCTGTGAGTGCTCTGAGGAGGCAGCAGGAGCCATGTCCAGCTGCCAAGCAAGTGCTGTGGGTTTGAACCAAAATTGTTGGAGCTGTCAGAGCGAGCGGCGCCTCAGCCTCGGGGCTGCGGTGCTGAGAGGTTGTTTTGCTTTTGGCTTTCAGTTCCCCTGCAATTGTTACAGTGAGCAAAGGCCTCTAAGTGTTGGTGCCTCGTGTTCTCTGGAGGAAAGAAAGGCAGGACTGGGTTCCCAGGGAGCTGCTGGTCCCTGGAGCAGCCTGGGCTGTTGTGAGCCCTCCTCAGCCCTGCCCCGTGCTGGTGCCTGTGCTGGGGGTTTGCTCCAGTGAGGTTCCACAGCTTTCACCCAGCAGTGAACTCCTGGCCAGCCCTGCATCCTCCCTGAGTGCTGCTGCCTGTGCTCCCTGCCTTGCCCCTGACTGTGGGGATGCTGCTGGGAGTGGGCTCTGTGTGCCACGCTGGAGCTGGTGGCCTTTGTGTCATTACTGCTTTTTGCCTTCTGAATGCCCCAGTGAACCCAGTCAGAGAGGAAGGGTGACACTGGAAGGGCTTGGTTCAGGCAGGGGTGGAGGGGCAGACCCAGCCATTGTGAGGACGGATGCCCTGCCCTGCTCCTTCCAGGCCTCCACAGGAGTGGAGTGTGATGGTGGCACCTCCATCCTTGGTCACTCAGGTCCTTTTCCCAGGCCAGCTTGGAGCCTCTGGCTGCAAACTGTGGCTTCTCACTTCTCCATGAAGAAGATGGACAGTTGGTGCTGGCATTGCTGTCAGGGCCAGCTGGATGTCTTGTGATCAGGTGGTGCAGGCAGAGATCAGGCCATGTGTGGCTGTTTGTGTAGCTGGGGTTTGGAAGAAAGGGAGGATCTGTGTTGCCCACTGCTCATTTTTCAGTCAAGATGCCGGTGCTCAGGTGAACACTGAACTGGAGAAGCCCCATGGCAGCCTGTACCCTCCTCTGATGCATCCATCCCCTGTCCCTTCACCCCATCAGCACATCCAGAGATGGGTCTCCACCTCAGCCATTTCCTTTCCTGCTTGCACTTGGCATCAGAAGGACACCTGGCCTGAGCCAGGCTTTGTCTGCAGCCCTCACTCCAGGTCCCCAGAGTGTGACATGGTGACTCTTCCTTCCTTGGTGTTAATTGCTCCCATGTGATCTACATGGAAAATTCTCAGCATTCTTCCTGCTCTCTATTTAGATGGGATTTATTTTGGTCCGTCCTGCTTTCCCTTTAACTGTCCCACCATGGTCTAAGGCCAAACCCCTGTTGTTCTGTTTGCTCACAGGAGCAGGGTGCCCCTCGTGGGTGCCTGAGACAAGCAGCTGTGTCTCAGCAGTGCCACCCATCCCACCAGTCCCTCTGGGCAGTTTGCTGCTCCCATGCAGCCCCCTCCTTCCTCTGCAGCCTGGCAGCTTGCTCTGCTGTGGCTGTGGCACATCCCTGTGGGTCACAGCACTGGCCAGGCCAGCATCCCCAGAATTTGATGTGTTCTGAGCTGGTCCATCCCTGGTGGCAGCTTCCAGACATCGTGGTGTGTCCCCAGTAGGGTTCAGGGCTGGGCCACCTGCTGCTGCACTTCTCAGCTGTGTTTGCTATGAAATTGTATTCAGATGTAGCCTACAAAGCAACCAAGGCTTTCAGAGTATTTCCTATACCCCGTAATTTAGAATTTATTGCTATGCAGGTATCTTTATTATTGTTGTAGTCAAAACTGAATGAGAACCTGTTTCTTTTGACATGTTAATTATTATATTTTTAACTAAAGAAGACAGACTGAGGTTTCTTATAAAGATGACATGCAAGGCATAAAGACATTTTTTGCTGGCTCAGCTCTCTGGATAACCTACTCTTAGGTGTGAATCACCTATATCTGGCCCAATATTGCTTTCTGTGAAGGACATTTTGGATGTCTTAAAGCCTTGTAACATCATAGTTGCCTTCAAGGGATGACTAAAACCTTGTTCAGAGGAGCTTTTCCTAAAGCACATTGTTTTTAATAGTTACTTAGTAGCTGGTTGTGGAGAAGAGTTCTGGTAGAGGCTGCTAAGCCTCACTCCCCAGGGTGGGGGTGAGATGTTGATTCCAGTTCTTATGATCCCTTGGGTGTCAAACAGAGAAAGTGAGACTTTGTGCTAAAGACATCCCAAAGTTGAACAAAACTAACTAAATAAGTCAGTCACAATTATTCAAGGTGTTTGTGCAAAAGGAAAAACACCCCGAAGCATTGGACTGGGATAAGTTGCCATTTCTGATCACCTTTTACACAACTCCTCCATAAAATCAGTGTTTCAAGCGATTCCTTGAGATGTTTCTCTGCTGGGGTTGGATGGCTGCCCCGGCCACAGGTTTTGCTTGGCGCTGTGCCAGGCTGAGGGTTCTCTCCAGCTTTGCAGATGCTTCCTGCCTGGCACAGAGCCTGACTGCTCCTTGTTGCCGTTTCAGCCGGAGCGGATAGATCCCAGCGCCTCGCGGCAAGGCTACGACGTGCGCTCCGACGTCTGGAGCTTGGGCATCACATTGGTGAGTTGTTGCCGTGTGATGTCACGGTTTGCCTCACTTACCCCGGGTTTCTCCCTGAAGATTCCTTCCCCAGGTGTGTCAATCACCTCTCCTTTCCCCCACCCTGACCTCTGCGAGTACTGTCTATCAACCCTGGAATTCCGGGAGAGCGTTGAGTGATTGGGCAGATTCACAAGATGCCCCCCACCCTTGGGGAGGCTTTGGATCATCTATGTATCCTTTTCCCTGGAGACCTCCTCCCCCATACCTGGTTGGTGGTCCCTGTATTCCCTCCCTGCCCCCTTCTCCCCCGGGTAAAAGGGTGAGCAGACCACGCGCTGGGAGTTCTCTTGGAGCTGTTGCTAGATTCAGGTGCCTGTGGGCCAGAATAAAATCCTGGGTTAAAACCCTCCATCAGAACTGACTCCTTCCTTCACCATCATCTTAAAGCTTCTCCAGCACAGGGAAGCCTGGGGAGCAATCCTCTACAAAAGCAAGCTCATCCCACCTTCACTGGAGCTCTGGCATGCCTGGGCTTGCCCCAGCGTGCCCAGCTGTGACCCACAGCTAGCCAAAGGTGTCTCTGGGGTGAAACATCACAGTCGCTGCTATTTGGTTCAGCAGCAGGGGCCAGACAAGCCAGGGCATGTCCCGTTCAGCAATATTGGTATATTCTAATATTTTGGCACCCAGCGTGGTGCCCAACATATCTAGGATGCTTGGGGAGGGACTGGAGGATTTTACTCTCCCACACTGGTTTGGTTTATAGTCAGTGGAGGAGCAGACATGGCCAGCACAGAAGCCTGGTCAGGGTAAATCTGGCCATGCCCCTCACTCAGGCAGCAGAACTTACTGCTGGCTAAAACCTTCCCTCTACTTAGAATCATACAGGGAATAGGATGAAGAATCTCATCTCAGTCTTCCTTCTGGGAGGGTCCAAGTTTGTTGCAGACATTTTTTTCCCTGCTGTAAACCTGCCTGGTGCTGTTGCTGTCTCCCTGCAGTACGAGCTGGCCACGGGGCGATTCCCCTACCCCAAGTGGAACAGTGTGTTTGACCAGTTGACACAAGTAGTGAAAGGAGACCCACCACAGCTGAGTAACTCAGAGGAAAGGGAGTTTTCCCCAAGTTTCATCAACTTCGTCAACTTGTGGTAAGTGTGTGCTGCTGAAAGCACTGGGGGTTGGCTCCTTTTGTTGGCTGCTATTTGGCAAGGGTTATGTGTCCAGCCCGTCCTGGCTTCTTTTCACATTCCTGCACCAGCACAAGGGAGGACCTCTCACATTTTAGTGGTTTGGAGGTGATGGGGGATTTGTGTGGGTTGGGACTGAAGGGCAGAGCCTGGAAACTGCTCTTCAGGAAAAGAATTAGGAGAACACCTCAGAGAGGCTGTGCTAGAGAGAGGAGACATGGTAAGGAGGGAAGTTTCCATGGCAGGAAGTTTGTGTCAGACACAGCCCCAGCCCCTCCCTGCACAGCTGGGATGGCTGCAAGGGAGGGATGGGGGTTACTCCTGTGGTCACTCACAGTGCAAGGCTGGGTTTTCCAGAAAACCAAAGGTGGTGTGTCCCACTGTGACAGCATCATGTCCTGTAAAAGCTTGTATTTGATGTCTGTAACATTTTGCCTGATCCCACGTTCTCCTCATTATCTTTATGCTTTCTTTAGCCTTACAAAGGACGAGTCCAAAAGGCCAAAGTACAAAGAGCTTCTGGTGAGTTCTCAGTGCTGCCTCTTTCAATGTTCCAACACACAGCTCACAGGGGGCTGGGCTCAGGCAGAAGTGAGATCTGAAGGAGCAGAGCCCTGGAGCTGGGCAGCAGCCTGTCTGTGGTGGGGGTGCTAAAGGAGAGAGAGCAGCAATGCTTTTGGCTTGGATCAGTGACATGAGGCAACTTTAAGGAGCTCTGGGCACCTGGAGGGCACCTCTTAGAGGCTGTGGTTCCACAGTCAGCCCTGGGGTTTCTCATCAGCTGATGTCAAAGGGGTTTGCCTGAGGTCCTGGCCCAGAACCTCCCTGATGATGTGTCCCAGCTGCTCTGACCTGGCTCTGGCCAGTGCTGCCTGCTGGGCAGAGCAGAGCTTGGGTTTGACCTGTGCAAGGCACTCCCTGTCACTCTCCCCACTGTGACAATGCTGATGAAACCTCTCCTGAAAGGATTTCAGGAAATGTCAGTGCTGCAGAGGAGCTGCTGGTCCTGCACCCTCCCTGCCTGCTGCCTGGCAGCTCCTGACACTCTGGAGTCCTGTCCTGCCTCAGTAACCTCCCACATTAAAGACATGGATTCCCAATATGGAAAAGCCATGGACCAGGCTGTGTCCTGGTGCCCTACAGCCACCACAAAGCATTTTCTTGCACCAGACAAATTCCTCTGCTCAGTTTTTATCTGAGGGGCACATGCCAGGACGGTGACCATAACTTTGTTGGTTTTTTTTTCTGCTTCCAGAAACATCCCTTCATCCTGATGTATGAGGAACGCACAGTGGATGTTGCATGCTATGTTTGTAAAATCCTGGATCAAATGCCAGCAACTCCCAGCTCTCCAATGTACGTGGATTGATACTGCTGCTACATCAAACTCTAGAAAAAGGGCTGAGAGAAAACAAGCTGTAAAGAATTTTCATCACATATTGCAGTGTTTTTAATGCTCGCCCAGACACCATGTGCAATAATATTGGTGTTATTTCCATCCTGTCTGTATACTGTTGTCACATATAAAGTGCATCCCTGTAATACCTGATCACACAGTGTTAGTGTTGGTCACAGAGAGACCTCATCTTGCTCTTTTGTGGACATATTCATGAAATGTGGAAATAAGTACATATATTTGTTGACTGTGATTGGATAGCACCTAAAATTCATTTCTAGACTCAAAACTTGGAGACTCCTCAGCAGCTACTGGAAAGATTTTTCTCTCAAACTCTTCCGATTGTTGTTTCAAGTAATAATAAAAAGCAAACAAACAAAAGTTAGGCGTTGTCTGTCTGAACATTAAGAGACTTTGCCTGGAGGGAGAAGAACTTGCTTAACCAACGAGATGCTTTGCCTTCTGGAGCTGGAAAGGCAAAGGAGAATTTTATTCTTCACAAAGTGCAATAGATTTACTGCTATGAAATTCTGTTGCTTTACAGTCGCAGTGTACTTTCTGGGGACAGTGTGCTCAGCTGAACTTCCTGTTAAAGAGAGATCATGTTAAATATAGTGAATATGTCTTTACCAAAAATATGTTGCGTTGAAAGAGGCTAACATTAAACTATTGAGATGGGACATAATGTATTCTTCCTCCTTTTACCAAGCCAGCCACTCTTCACTCTTAACTAGGTGTCCTGTAAATTGTTACCTGGTAAGATAAGACCTTTGACCTGAAGAATTATTAAACTACTTGATTGAATTTAACCTGCTTGTTGACCTGGTTTATAGTGCACAGTGCTCACCACCCACTGGCTTTGCTTTGCCTTCACCCAGTGCCATCCACAGAGGCTGCAGCTGCTTGAGTGGGCCACCAGCTGATGGCTGTGAGTCCTGGCCAGTGTTTCTCGTGTTCCTGCTGTCCCCAGCCCTGCTGCTTGCTCCTGTGGCACGGTCCAGCCCCGTGTCCTGAGCTCCTGAGTCCCACTCCAAACCGGAGCTCTTCCTTCTCGCTGCTGCAGGCAGGATGGAGGGGGGGCCCTGTGCCCACCACACCCTGCTGAGCTTGCTGCAGACACTTCAGCAGCACCTGGAGACTGAGCCTCCTCTGTGACTCCACAGCTCCTGGTGCTGCACCCCGAGCAAACCTCTCTGAGACTGGGGGGTGCAGAAGGAGATGAGGTGGAGGTGAAGGAGCATCCAGCTCCTCTCAGCTGGCCCAGCAAGGCCAGGCAAGCTTGTCTTCTGGTCCATTCCTAAGCAAAACAGCACATCAGGCTTTTCTCTTTGTTTAATTGACATATTTTTCAAAGATCGATTTTTTTCCCAAAAACTTTTTTTTCTCCCCTCAAATATTGCAGTTTTCAGGTGTTTAGTAGCACACCAGGGATAAAATGGAGGCTGCAGGGTCTCTGCTTTCCGTTCTGAGCTGATTGAGGTGCTTGGTAGGACTTCATCAGTGTTAGAGCAGCCTCCCATCAGAGCTCAGCAGCAAGCCTGGACACAGGGAATGAAAACACCGTGGTGCTGGCAGGATGCCCAAGGAAGGGCTCCCCACGTCCACCCAACACCAACGTGTGCACAGCAGCCCGGGGCAGAGCGCTGATGAAGACCAAGCAGCACATCCCAGCTGGGAAGGAGAGCTGAGGCCATGCCTGGACACAGCTGTGTCCGTCTGCCACGGAGGTGACACGTCCAGGGGCTCCTGCTGGCTCCTTGGTCCTGCCCTTCCTGCACTGTGTTCCTCTTGGGCTGCTCCTCAGGCAAGGCAGAGGTCTCTGCTCCTCCCGGACAGCTCTGGTGCCTCCTGTGTCAAGATCAGTCAGACCACGCGTGTCTAAAGCAGCCATTCTGCCCCCACCCCCAGAGCCTTTCCCAGGCAAATCCCCGTGGAGCTGTGGTTCCTCTCTCCAGCCTTCAGCCCCTGGAGTGGGATTGCAGCTGCTCCAGCTCCCGAGGGCTGCAGGCTGTGGGGGCTGGAGAGACCAGACCCAGGAAGGGCAGCCACAGGTGGGGCTTCACCCTCCCTTTGGTGTCTGACTCACTCCTCCCGGCTACAGGGAACTCAAAAACCTCTCAGAGGGCCAGCACTGAGATGGAACCTCCCAAAACACATGGGACCACCTTGCTCTGCCCTGTTGGGATGGCTGGGTCTGTGCTCTGGTGCCATCCCATCTCCAGCCCAGGACCAGTTTGCTGGGAATGGAAATGCAAAGCTTTGAGCTGCCAGTGACAGGAGTGAGGGGCTGCTGCCTGGGTGGCTGTACAGGACAGGTTTAGCCTATTCAACATAGATTATTATAAATTACTATGGGTGCACCATTTATTGCAATGTATCTATTAAAGAAAAAAAAAAAAGAAAAAAAAGGTGTATAGTGTTCAGAAGCTGTGAAAATAGTGTAAGAACTGTACATTGTGAATTCTGGTTATTATTTTTTTTTCTTGTACCATAGGAAAAAAATGTATAAAAATATCAAAAAGCTGATGTGCAGGGATGTTGCCTTATTGTCTGTAAAATGAAGCTCAGGAACATAACTGCTTCAAAGAGCTTCCGAATATTTTATCCGGTCTCCTGGTTTGACTTCCTCCTCTATTTAAGCTATTATACATGGATCAGAGTGTTTATGTAATAGTTCTATCCTTTTGCCTGCAGGTCAGTTGTAATAAAACTAAGATGCGACTGTGAGCTTGTTATTTTCATTTTGTAAGGTCAGACGTGAAGGGGAAGGTTCACTCAGAGCTCTGGAATACCTTCCAGGCCTGGCCTCCAGGTGGAAGAGGAAAGCAACCTTCAGATCTGCTTGTGCCAAGTGAAAGAGGTGAAGGGAGCTCTGGATGTATTTTCTGGAAGACTCTGTGTTTGGGCGCCTCTCAGGCGAGCAGTCTGCAGCACAGGGAGGTCCTGGTGGCTCAGGACACCTTGTCCCTGTCAGGAGGGCAGGTGGCTGTGCCCACCCTCCAGGGAAAGGGCAGCTGGAGCTCCCAGCTCCGATGGCTGCAAGGTCTGCAGAACCCAGATGGTCTCAGAGTCCTGGGTAAGTCCTGCTCCTGGGAGGTCTCTTCTGCCTGGAAGCTGTGGAGGGCTTGGAATCTGCCCAGTCAAGTGGGCACAACTGGACCCCAGCAGCCCCACTGGGAAGGAGAGGAGGAGTGCTGGGGAGAGGGCCTGGTCACCAGTGCCTGTCCTGCTCCACTGGGCTGGATGGGACAGTCCAGGAGTGCCCAGCCCAGACTGGGGAGAGCAGAGCACCCTGCAGGGATCCCTGGTCATGGCAGGATTAACCCGGATCAGGAATAGTTGGGAATGGGTGGATCATCTGACACCAGCTCTTGCAGGGTCTCACACTTGGAGGGTGACAGTTGTGCCCAGAGAAGGGAAGGCAGGAAGAGAAACAGAGCTGAAGGTCTTGCTGTGCAGAGATGCACAGTGTGAAAGGTTCACGTAGCTCAAGTCTTGTCGGTTTGCCTAAATTCTGTGCTCCCACCACACCAAGGCTTTTTCTGGAGCTTTTTACTGCCAGCACAATACTTTGGAGATTTTTGGGTCACCTGCTATCCTCACTCTTCAGTCAGAATCCAAGATCCCTCATTTGGAGAAGGAAGAAGACAAAATCTGAGCACACACCAGGGACAGTCCTTCTTTCCCTGGGAGGGAATGTATTTATGGACATTTCAGTCCCTCTCAAGTGCTCCTTGTTGAACTCATGCTCCATTCTCCCTCTGGACTCTCTCCTGCCTGCACTTCACTGCCCTCACCAAGGATCCCTCTGTCACTGCTGAGGCAGCACAGAAAAAATCCACCCTGGTCCCAGATGCTGCTGGTGTCTCCAACAGGATCCATTCCTGCACAGGGCCTCTGCTACTGCTCCTGACAGCCCTTGGACAATTCCAGGCTTCAATTGGCTTTCTCCAGGCTGGGAATTTTCCTTTGGGCATTATGGCCAGGTCTGCACAGCTCAGCTGTGGCTCTGTCTCTGTGCCAGCTCTGGGGCTGCCCTGGTGTCCGTGCTCAGTGCCAAGGCTCAGGAGCCAATGTCTGGACCAGCCTCCCAGAAGACCCAGAGCCCCTGGCCACTGACTGTGCTCAGTGGTCCAGACTGGCACCTCACACCTTTGTACCCACCGGTGCTTCTTGGATCTTCAAGCATCATGCAGCATCAGAAAATCCCACTGTGCTCTGTTGTGGTTATTTTGTGTCTGGGGAGCTCCAAGAACAGCTTTGAGGTTTGGATGAGCTCAAACCCATCCCTGCCTGGACCCACCAGGTGGAATGCAGATGTGCATCATCACCTGCTCTGTCAGGAGCACTTTGAGTTGAGTGTTTCCATGAATGCTCTGGCATGACTTCCCCTGGCCTTCATCCCAGCCCTGTCTTTCCTTTGGGGCCAGGTGAGTATAAATGAAGGGCTCAGGGCTGTGAGCTGGGGGTTCCCCCTGTGCTGGCACTGCTGGGGCACCTCCAGTGCTGGGGACAGCTCTGGGACACTCAGGACAGGAAGGACACTGAGGGGCTGGAGTGTGTCCAGGGCAGGTGATGGAGCTGGGGACGGGTCTGGAGCCCCAGGAGGGACTGAGGGAGCTGGAAAGGGGATGAACCTGGAGCAAAGGAGGCTCAGGGGGGACCTTGTGGCTCTGCACAGCTCCTGCCAGGAGGGGACAGCCGGGGGGTCGGGCTCTGCTCCAGGGAACAGGGACAGGAGGAGAGGGAACGGCCTCAGGCTGGGCCAGGGCAGCTCAGGGTGGGCACAGCAGGAATTTCCCCATGGAAAGGGGGCTCAGGCCTTGGAAATGCCCAGGGAGGGTTGGAGTGCCCATCCCTGGAGGTGCCCAGGGAATTCCTGGAGGTGGCACTGAGTGCTCTGGGCTGGGGACAGGGTGGGGATCAGGGTGGACTCAGTGGTCTGGGAGGGCTTTTCCAACCTCAGTGATTCCATGATTCTGTTAACACATAGGTGCTGCTATGCACCCCATTTTCCTTCAACTCCTGACACTAATCACACGGGGCCATTGCTTTGAGCATGGTAAGGGGCCCAGGGAAAGATGGAGTGACTGCTCTGAGGAACGAGGAAAGGAAAAAGCTGTATTTTGCCTTTATGTTAACAGCTGTGCAAGTGCTTGGAGAGCCAGATGAAGCACAAACTCCCTCTCCTGGAGACACACGGCACCTTCTGCTGGAAATGGAACAGCAGGGCAGTCTGTGGGCTGTTCCGGGGGACATCTGCCAGAAAACCTTTGTCTTGGCATAAATCCCATGGCTCCCATCAGGACAATGTGGTGTGGCCAAGCAGGAAACTCCTGCTCAACTGAGCAGAAGAGCTGGGTGCAGGGGTGTCCTTCCTTCCTTCCTTCCTTCCTTCCTTCCTTCCTGTGGTGGGGGAAGCACTGCATGGTGAAAAAAATGTTAATTTGACTCTCAGAACATTGTTTGTTTGTTTGTTTTGTATCACCTCTGAGTGGGCCATCACTGGGATCCTTCAGCTTGGTGTTGAGAGAAAGGAAAATCCCAGAACCCCAAACTCCTTGGGACAGCCTGTGTGGGAAGATCACCTACACATGGAAGACTGAGTGAGGACTGACTCAAGGCAATGGAGGGGAGGGGTCCCATCCCACTGGCACTCCCTCTGCTTTCCCAGGAGGCTGCTCCGGTTGGGCTGGAGGACCACGGGCCCAGGCAGAGCTGGGCTGACTTCTCCTTGCAGCAGAAAATCTGCTGTGGGTGTCCTTTGGGGCCCGGGAGGAGACTCAGGATCCCTTTCCCCTCTGATCCCTTTCTCTGCCAGCAGCAGGACCCTGGGCTGGACTCAGCCCCCCCGGGTGCTCTGCTGCAGGGGAGCAGCATGGGCAGGCTCCTCTCAGCAGGGAAATGCTCCACTCCACGGTTATTCCTGAAATAATCCTAGGCTGAGGCTTGTCTCCTCATTCTCTGAGTAACCACGACCTGGCTCAGCCCAGGCTGTTCATCACAGCACACCTGGCTGCAGGGAGTGGCTTAGACATGAAAAGATGTTGATTTATTTGCTCATCTACATCTTTTCAGATGCACTTGAGCCATGTCTCGGGACCATTTCACCTTTAGCCCACCTGGGCAGTCCCTCTTTGCACACAGGTGCGAAAATACCTGGGAAACTTTCTTATCAAAAGAAAGGGGGGACAAATTTGGAAAGAGACACTCAGGGCTGCTGTGGAGAAGGATCCAAGGTTCCCCAGGGTCCCAGCCTGCTGTGCCTGTGGGCAGCGGGAGGTTTGGCTCTGGCAGAGCTCTGCCTGTACCCAGCTCCCTGCAGCCACCAGCCCTGTGCTGAAAAAAACACCCAGGGGCTTGGGCAGGGGGTCAGCTCTGCCTTTAAAGGGGACACAAGGAGTGGGGTCTGCAGGAAAACAGAGCAAAGCCAGAGCCAACAGAAGAAAAAGACAGGAGGCTCTAGCTGGTGACTTCAGAAACCTTCCAGGAGAAATTGCTGCCATGAATAAAATTCATCTGGCCTTGAAGGACTGTAGCTGTCCCAGGGCATGGAGCTGGTACCAGGGGGTGGCAGCTGTGGCTGTCCCAGTGGTGAAGTCAAACAGCAAACCACGGGCAGACAGAGTGGCAAGACAAGGGTTTTAATAATGAAGGTGTTGCTGGTAACATAGGTAAGGAAATGTGCTTGCTTACAGGTTTGAAGCTGACAGCATCCCTTTAAATAAGGAAATACAATTGCTGAGAGGAGAAAGTTACCTGGAAAACTCTGTACAAGGCCTCAGTGGAGCAGCTAACACTACTCTGCTTCAAGTGCTCTGAATATTCTCCACAGACTGGCTTCAAAAAAATCTCTCACTTAGAAAAAGAAATTCTTTTAAAAAAATGCAACCTGTGATTGTCTATCCTAGCAGTGCCCTGTGACATTTGTACAATAGAAAAATGGTGCTTTAAATAGTGACTTGAAAGCTACTGCCACGTGCTTTATACAGCATGCAACAACAAGGCCAGGGACTGGGGACACTGCCCGGGCTGCAGAGCTGCCTCCCACAGCTCCAGCATCCCTGGGGAAGCGCCACGGGAGCCAGGCTGGACCTCCTCCCAGCAGCTTCATCTCCGTGTGCTGTCCTTCCAGTAACACAAATATTAAATACACTCAGTCTGTAAATAGTTTAACAATCTTTGTCAGCAACAATATTTACTTTGGCAAAACCAGAGTTGCGATGAACGGACGCGTCCATCACGAAGTCTGCAGCAAGTTCTTTGGTGGAAGCCAAGAAGTGAAGCAAAGGCTCCTTCTTGCTAGAGCCTGAGGAAGAATATTGCACAGAGACTCTTAGGAGAAATGCTGGTGATTCCAAACGGGAGCATCACTGCGGGAGAGCTTCCTTCTCTGCCGGCTGCGGGAGAACGGGCTCCTCCAGGCTCGGTGATTCACAGCTGTTCTCCGGTAGCCTTGCTCTGGGCTGAGGGAGCAGTGACGCTGGATAAACTCAGGGAGGAGGGGAAGACTGCTGGGGATGGAGGAGGGACGGGCAGAAGGGTGGAGGGGAGGATGGCAGGAGCACGCACTCACACAAAGCCTCGGCCACACGAGGGCTCTGCCCCAGGAGCGATCACTGAGTGTCCCTGCCCGGCTCCCCCTGCTCCCGGATCATCAAGGGCTGGAGATCACCCTGACCTGGCTGTGCACAGAACAGCCCCTCCAAAGCCTGGCTGGTCCTTTCACACCACTTGCTCCTACCTTGGCCAAAACACATCACTCATCTCTTTGTGTGCGCCGGGGACACGGCTGCTCCACTGGGGTGCCACATCCCCTCATTCCTGCGCCTGCATCCTCAACATCTGCCTCCAGTGTCCAGAGCTCCCTGCTCCAAGGTCACGGGATGCAGCCTGATTCAGCTCAGAATGCAGCCAGGACAGCTCCTGGGCTTTCAGCCCCTCAGGACATGCCAAGGTGCCACCGTGAACTCGGTGATCTCCATCTCTCACCCACCTGGAGCAGAGCTCTGCGGGGATGGGGCACTGCAGCTTTGGGCAGGGGGGAAGCAAGAGCCCGGCTGTCCACAGAAGGGTGCTTGGCACCTGGCTGGGCACAGCCCCCTGCTCTTCACCCTGGCATGGGCACGGCCAAGATGAGCCCAACAGGTCTGCCTGAAGGACTGGGAGAGGAGAGGAGAGGAGAGGAGAGGAGAGGGTAACAGTGGGTTTCCCTCTCCATGATTTCCTGTTGCCACCCAGGTGAGGTCACCTCACCACACAGTCTTGTCATGAGCTGCTCCAGTTCTCACAAGAGTGACTGCTAAAACTGGGGGGGGGAAAGATTAAAGAAACAAAATGGAAGTTCTTGTCAATCAAAGGGAGTGTTGTTTCAGGCACTGGTGTCCTCTGTGGGGTTGTGTCAATGGAGGAAAACCAAAGTACCAGAGTTGTGCTGTCAATTTTCAGTGACTGGAAATTCAAACAAGTCTATATGCTGGGAAAATGACTCCAGTTTCCCCTGGATGAGGCACGTTAGCCCTGCATGTTCTGCAGCACGGCAGGAGCACTGTGCTGCCTGCTGCAGGCTCACAGCACCCTGCCCCAGCACGTCCCTTCACCACTGCTGCAGGTGCAGGTCCATGCTGGTGTTCAGGTTGAGGTCAGCAACATCCAGGAAATCGATGTTGAAGATGCTGGGGCCCGCGGGGGTGAGCGAGCTGAAGCCGGTGGCCGAGCTGGGGGGGGTGAGGTCCAGCCACTCCATTGTTTCCCACGGAGACTCGGTGAAACTCATTTGTAAAGCAGAGCTTTCAGCAGGGGAAGGGGACAGCTGGGTGTCCATGGGCGACAGGGGAGTCTGTAAAATCTCCTGGGAGTTGAGCAGTTCGTCCGCGGCTTTGCCGGAGAAGCCCTCCATCATCCCCTCGAAGTGGGGCTCCTCTCCCCCCAGCTTCAGCAGGGCCATCTCGCTGACCCTGCCCAGGGGGCTGTGGGCGTTGAGCAGCACCTCCAGGTGAGCGTCGCTGCTGCCCGGGCAGTGCTCGAAGGGCAGCGGGGCCGAGGACACCGGCTCGAACGGGGCAGAGCCCTTGGGGACAGGGCCACCCGAGCTGCCCGGTGACACCATTATCTGAGGGACTTTCTGCAGGCAGGACCGATCTTCCTTGGCATTGGCTGGAATTTCTGTCAACAAAGGAGAGGGATCTGAGGTGCCTTGGCAGTGCCCACCATCATAGCCCCCCAGCTGACCTCTGGGGCATCCCTTTGGAGACCTGCTCAATCCCACTGGCACTGCTTGCCCACCCTCTCTGGGGGAAGCCTCACACATTCCTGCTTTCTGACCATGATCCCCAGGTTTGGATACAGTCCTTAAGGCACAAGCACTGGCAGCTGTCCCCAAGGGGCTGGGGAAGGGCACAGGCAGCACTTTGCACAGGGGAGGGCAGCAGAAGTGCTCTGTGTGGGAGATGGCACTGGCAGCCCTGGGAATGGGGGGACACTGGGGGCTCTGTGTGGGCAGGGGGCTGGCAGTGCTGTGCACAGGGCTCCTGCCCTGCTGTCCCTTCTCTCTGCACAGGTGACAGCCGAGCCCAGACCACCCCATGAGATTGGCACACACAGGAGCAGGCTCCAAGAGGACCAATGTGCTTTTGGTTCAATCTCAGGGGCTGCTGGCACAGGGAGGGCAGGGGAAAGCTGTACTCCACTCAGGCAGCTCTGCTGGGGTGCACTGAGCCCCACAGACCGAGGCTGGCTGCAGGGGAAGCCCCAGAGGGGAAGAGGGAAGCAGAGCATACCTCCACTCTCAATCAGCACGTCCAGGAGCTCGTCCATCTGCTGACTTCGCGTCATCTGCTGCAGCAAACGACAAAGAGGAGAGTAGAGGCCATTAGGAGGACAGTCCCTCCAGCCACAAGCCAGGTAGATGGCTCTAGACCCCCAAAAGATGGCTCTAGACCCCAAAAAGGATAGCTCTAGACACCACAAATGGCTTCCTCCCACAGAGAAGAGAGGCCACACCAACACGGGGCTGGCAGCAGCGCTCAGGGCACTGCAGGGACGTGGCACAGTCACGGCGGATCCAGGGAGCAAAGCACCCTTCCCTGCTGCCAACCCTCTGCTCTGTGGCCACCACAGCCTGCCCTGTCCCAGGGCCCTCAGGACACAACATTTTAGCCCCAGCACCTCACACTGGCACATGCCTGCCTGCCCTCCCTGCTCCCTGCACTGCCCAGGCTCCCTCCTCTCCCTGACCAGAACCTGGAAGATCTCCTGCACGCTGGCATAAACCCATTTTCACCCTGCCAACAGCATCAGTCCACTTTCCCAAAGGCACCAGCAGCACTCAGGCTGCTCCCAGACTGATGGGAAGGAAGGTGTTCCTGGTCCTCCCTGCAGGAACAGCGCTCCTACATATTCAAATCTGAGCACTGGTTGGTTTGACCACAACCTCCCAAAAACATCACTTCCTTATCAACCTATGACACTGGGTACAGCTCAGGGGGCAGATGGATGAGCAGGATGAGCTTTCCTGGTGACCTGGGAATGCTCAAAGGTCTGTCTCTGACACAGCACTGAGCACCCAAAGAGAGTACACTGGCACCCCAGGGGACTTGGGGGGTGTCAGGACCCCTGGGTGCACAGGGGACACTACCCAGCCCAGCAGGGTGTCTGACTCCTTTGTGGCAGCTAGCCACCCTTCAGAAAAGCCCATTCCTCATGGAAACAGGTCTGTCCTGCCCAGCGACCCAGAATGGGCTGGAACTCCTGCACCTGAGTCCCACTGAGTGCAAAGAGATGGCACGGGCAGCCCTAGCCCTGGAGAAAACAAAAACCATGCAGTTACCTGCTTCACTGCATCCTCATAGGGTGGAGGCTGCTTTACCTCTGACAGGGCTGGGCTTGACTTACAAAAACTTGGGGATGAAATAGAAAACTTTTGGCCTGACTGCGCAGCCATCTGCATGGGGAGATACAGGGAAATGGAGTCAATGCACAGCTCTCTCCTCCCTGCTGAGGTTGGTGTGATGCCGGGGAAAATGACAATTTTGTGGGTCAAACCAACTCAAAATGCCTGGCTCTGAGCAGGATAGAGGCAGGTAAACCAGCTCCCTGACCTAGCTCTGAGAGCCAGGGCCAGGCTGGCCCCTTGTCACGGCACAGACACGGTGGCACAGGACACCCTGGTGTCCTGGGGACATGCAGGACAAAGGGAAGGCAGAGATGCTGCTGGGGGTCAGCTGTGCTTGGCCAGTGATGAGGCACCTCCCCAGCCCCCTCCCAGCACCACCTGACTGGGGGCATCTCACAGAGCTCAGGCCAGGGAAGGTCACTCAGAAATCTCTGCCTGTGCCAAACACCTGCATGTCTTTGCCAGCTTTTGGCCAGGTTCCCCTTCCAGGATGGATGGCATTTGGACCACAGTGCCTGTCAGCTGCTGTCCCCATCACCTCCAGGCCCTTGTGTGTACTCCCCCACTGCCTGGCCATGGCCTTGTCCCACAAAAACCAGCACCAGGGGATTGTCCCTCCAGGTGGGTTGAATCCAGGGCAGCAGTGGGGTCACTCTGCCTGGCCATGCACATCTTGGCCACCTTTCTGTGGAGGGGAGCTGGAAGAAACACCACCCCTGGCTCATGGGAAACAGCACTGCAGTGCTGGGCACAAAGGAAGAGTTCTTGCTGAAGAAGGACCCTCACGCCCAGCAGTCCCTTGCAGGCAGCAGAGGGATGTCCAGGATGGTGGTGGTGGAGTTGGGATGAGCTGCAGGACACAACGGGACCATCCCCCTGCCCTTGGGCAGTGAGGGAGCAGCTGAAGATGTCCCTGTGGTGTCACTGCTGCCTCCTAAGCCTCACTGTCCATGTGGCCAGAGCAGCCCTGCTGTCTCTTGGATGTCAGCTCACAGCACTGTGTCCCACTGTCCCCAGGGCTCTGCTGCAGTGCCCAGTTCACCTGCACAGCCCCAGTGCCAGGGTCACCCCCTGCATCCCCTGCTCTGCTCCCCACTCACCCAACCAGTGTTGCCATCACCCTCCCCGCCCCTGCAGCAGCCCCACTGCCCTCCGTGCCCATTGCACTGGCAGCTCTGTCTCTGCCCCTCCTCACCCTGAACTGCTGCCCTTTCCCACGCCACTGGCTGTGCTGTTTGCCAGCTGCCCATGGCACCTACCTTGCTGTCCTCCTGAGCCCCACTTTGTGCCACTGTGCAGGGCTGACCCCCAATGCCTGCTCGGGGCCACTGTGGGTGGGCTGTCCCCCACACCCAGCCTACCCTGCCACACCCCTGTGAGCACACCTGGCACCCCTGTACATGGCACAGGCCACTGCAAGGTGCTGCCTGGGCAGCCCTGGGAGGGTGCTGGGGCTGTGATCAGAAGCTTGTGCTGTTTTGTGCAGTGTGTCCCCCTCCCCAAGTGTTTGTGCCTGTCCAGGGGGCTCAGTGAGCAGTGGTGGCTGCTGAGGACAGCTCTGTGCTGGGCTGCTGGCCTGGTGGGGAGGCACAAGCTCTGTCTGACTGCAGATCTCAACTGCCAGCCCTGCTCCAGCTTACTGAGAAAAGGCTTCCCTGGGGCAACTGCTCTCCTCCAGCTCAGTGGTGAAAATCCCTCACACACTGCTGGGAGCCACAATGGCTTGGCAAGATGCTGGGAAGCCCTGCAGCCCTGCAGTGGGGTCTCCCAGGGGTGTAGGAACCGTGCCAGGGCTCTCCCAGGAGCTGAGGGATCCACGCTGGTGCCTCCCTGCTGTGTACAGAGCTGTGCCAGGCCTCCATGGGGCACAGCTGTGCCAGGACTCCCCCTGAGGGGAGAGGCAGCTGGGTTTGAGCTCTTTTAGGGTAGAAGCAGCTGTGCCAGTGCTCCCCCAGGGAAGTGGGAGCTTGCCAGGACTCTTCCAGGGGCAGAGAGAGCTGTGCCAGAGCTCCCCAGGGCAGAGGGAACTGTGCCAGGGCTCCATAGGCAGAGGATGCTCTGCCAGAACTCTCCCAAGACATGGACAGCTTTGCCAGTGCTCACCAAGGGGCAGAAAAAGCAGTGCTGGGGTCTCCTGGGGAGGAGGGGAGCTGTGCCAGGGCTTCCTCAGGGCAGCAGGAGCTGTGCCAGGGCTCCATGGGGCACGAGAGCTGTGCTGTGGCCCCTCCAGGGCAACTGGCTGCGGTGGCAGAGCTCCCCAGAAGTAACCCTGCAAAGGACCCTGCAGTGCTATCAGCTTCCATCCCATTGCCCAACTTCCTGCCCTTCCAGGCTGCCCCGGGCCCAGAGGCAAGGCCTCCCCCGTGTGGCGTGACCCGTGGGGGTCCGGGCTGGCACTCACCGGCGCTGTGCGGAGGCAGCTGCTGCCCGGGGGGGACCCGCTGCGGCCCTCGGGGGACACCGGGAGCAGGTAGTGGCTGTTGGGGGACGGTGGCAGGCTGATGTGCTGGGGGCTCTTTGCAGCCCCCAGGGGAGAGTGCTGCGGGGAGCACTGCGGGCTCAGGAATGTCGAGGAGGTGATGGTGCTCTGCCCTGCGGGCTCCAAGCAGTGGCTGTTCACAATGTGGGGCACCTGCGGTACTCCACAGTTACTCAGCTTGTCCGAGCTGCCGGCCTGGCCCTTCAGGGCCATTTGTTTGGATGCAAATGGACAGCTGGACACGGTGTTCTCCTGCTTGATGGGGACACCAAAGAAATGCTGAGCAGGCTGCTGCTTCTCCTCAAGGCCGTTGCTCCTCTTCCGCTTCTGGAGCTGCATCCGCAGCTCTTCCACCTGCCTCTGCTCCTGCTGCAGCTTCCACGTCAGTTCATTGATGACCTTCTGCTTCTCCACCAGCATCTTGTCTTTCTCTGTGTCTATTCCTTCCAGTTCCAGCTGGATGCTCCCACCGTTCATGCTGCTCATGAGGCTTTCCTCAGCGCTGCCATGAACTGGTGATGGCTGGAGAGCAAACTGTGGAGAAGCCATGGGCCCGTCGTTGAAGGTGTCGGGCAGAGAGCCGCTCACAGAGAGGTCAGAGGAGGCGGGCGAGATGGGAGGGGTGGAGCTGGTGCTGCCAAAGTGGTAGAAGCCGTTTGATAACATGCTGGTGGAGGACTGTGACTGGTAGCTGGACAGGGTGCTCGTTGGAGTGACCGGGAAGGTGACGGTGGTGATCTCACTGAAGCTGGGCACCGTGCTGCTGCTGCACTCCTGGAAGGGCCGCAGCCGCTCCATCAGCGCCGTCTTGGTGCCCGACACGGGCAGGCCTCGGATTCGGAGCTGCTGCCTCAGCTCTGACACCTGGAAGGAAAATTCACTCGTGGTCAGCCTCTGTAGGAATGTGCCCCCTTGTTGACAGAATGACCAAATTATCCTTTGTATCCTTAAAAAGGAAAAAAGCCCAGAAGTTTCTCTCCTCAATTTGGTAAAAAGACACCTCATAGGACCTTTGGGACTTCACCTAGGGCTACCCAAGTGGACAGAGGCCAAAAGGTCCCACCTAGGTAATTCTCTAGAAAAAGAAGAGAACAAAGGAAATAATTGCTTTTCTGAAGTGTTTTAGCAGGAGCAAGAACCTCTTGCCCCTGGCTCGGTTTTTCTCAGTAAGACCTTTGTTATTTTGCCTTTTATTAAAACTTTCCCTGTTTCCAACACCACCTCAGAAGCCATCCTGCTAATTTTATGTCATTTGGGGTAGCTGAGCTATCTCAGGTGCGATGGGTTCCTCTGAGAGCTCATAAGACCTGGCTCGAAGAGAAAACCCATCAAGTCTCAGTAGCAGATTGGCTCTTAAGAAATCCAGTGCTTCTAACAAGGAGTCTCAAATCCCAGCTTCCAGCTTTAAAGCTCTGACCCCTCTCCACTGGCAGAGCAGCAAGCCCTCGTGTTCAGAACCTCCCCAGTGACCAAGCCCTGCCCCAGGGTGCTGTGCTGCACTCCTGGGTGGCTCAGAGCACGGGGTTTCAGGTGTGCTGATCTGTAACACAGCCCCTCCCAGCCTGTGGCACTCCCCTGACACACTCAGAGGTAGCACAGCACATTCAGGCTGTGACATTCTGCTCCTGCAGTGACAAAGTTTGCACTCACTTTGAGATCATCCAGGTTGGAGGGCAGAGGGCCTGGCTTGATAGATGAGACACAAGTCTGGCCTGAAAAGGTGGTTTTCACTGGAGAAAGAGGGGTGTTGTTGCCAGAAGTTGATGAAGGATTTGAGCTTTTGACCATTTGCTCATTTGATTGCCTGAAATAACAAAGGAGATTTGGGGTAACTTGTCTGTTCCCCCAAGGTCTTTGTGCCCAGCATCCCATCCCTCTGCTCCCTTGGGTCTGCTGTCTCCTATGTGAGACTTCAGGATGGCCAAGGAAAACCAGGCTGGGCTGTAGGGGATGGCTGGTGTCCCACCAGCAGGTCACATGTGTCCCCACCAGTATGCAAAGCCAGAATGGTTTGGAAGGAGTCTGTGCTGTTCCCAAGCTTTTCTGTTTCAGTGGTGTGCCTCTATCCCCTTGTTTTGACACAAATGGATACAGAGGGGAAAGCCTGGAGAGAAACAGGACTAAGTCCTGCTGCTGCCACTCACTTTAGCTGTCCTTGGTGCATCCCAGGATAGCTGAAGTGCTGCTGCTGCTGCTGCTGCTGCTGCTGCTGGCTGAGGATCTGGAGCTGCAGGAAGAGCTGCTGCTGCTGGAGCAGTCTGGCATACGCAGAATCCATGGGTGGAGGGGACTTCTCTGCTTTCTGGTCTGGAGGGATGTACTGGTGGTACTTGAGCTTCTTCACTTTGGGCTTGGTGTCCTTGGGCTTTTTGTGACGGTTCTTGCTGTCACTGGCTGATTTGGACTGTTGGAAGGAAGGAAAGGAATTAGGTGTGAGAAGAGCTCCTGTCATCCCCATGGGACCCCAGAGGCCTGGGACAGAACAACGACAGCTCCTGCTGGCACTGTGACACTCCAGCTCCAAGACTTGCTGAGCCTGGATGTGGGGGACTCCCTTGGCACTGTGTCCCATCTCAGCTGGGCTGGAGAGCACATGAGATGGAGAATGACCCTCCCTGCCTGGAAGGTGCTCCAGTGTGGCCTGGTATCACCTGCAGCTCCCAGCCCCAGGGATGTTTTCAGTGCAGGACTCAAGCAGCTGCCTCTAGCAAGGTATAATGTTTTATTTTATACCATTACAATTAAATTAGTTTTTGACACAAGGCTGTCTGCCTGAATTATTCAAAGCCTTTAAAACCAGACACCCAGAGCTCCCACACATTTGGGGCAGAGCACATGGGCACTCCAGGCTTGGATGCCCTGGGCTGGTTCCTCTCCTGGGCACCCGGAGGCACCGGCATTACCTTCACGGCAGAGGGCACCGGCAGCGTCGGGCTCTCCTGTCCCGCTGGCTGCTTGGGGCTGTCGCACTGGCTGCCCTGCCCCGGGGCAGTGTCCGGGGCGTGCCCATCCGCACTGGGGGGACGATCCTGCAAGGGAGAGGTGAGAGGGGCTGTGGGGCCGGACCTAGGGGCTCCTGGTACCCCGTTTCCTCACCCCATGTTGTTCCCAATCCCCACAGATGCTTCAGCGCATCCCAGTCCCCTCATGTCTATCCCAGCCACACCCTCAGGCTATCCCAGTCCTTTCCCAGTCCTCTGCCTCCGCACTCCTCCTTGGTTTTCCAGCCCTCCCAATTTCATCTGAGCCCCGCATCCCTGCTCACAGCTGGCTCATCAGTATTATCCTCCAGACCAGCCCAATGTTCCCAGCTGACCCATGGATGGTCACAATCCTTCTGGTCCTCCCCCATCCCAGTCTGCCCCAGTTCCTCCTTTTCTCCCTCATCCATCCCAGCCCCTCCGGTCCACTCCAGCTCCCCCATTCCCCCTAGCTTCCACATTCCCCCAGTTTCCCCTCAGTCCCCCCAGCTTCTACATTCCCCCAATTCCCCCCCAGTTTCACCCCAGTTCCCCCAGCCTCTACATTCCCCCAATTCCCCCGCCCCCGTTTCCCCATTACCCCAGCCTCCACATTCCCCAATTTCCACTTTCCCCCCAGTGTCCCCCAGTCCCCCCAGTCCCTCTCTCCACGCCGGCCCGGCTCTCCCGGGGCTGCAGTGCCCGCGCCGGCCGGCAGTGGGCGCGCCGGCCCCGCGCAGCGCGGTCCCCCCGCGGTCCGAGAATGACAGAATGTCCCAGAATCACAGAATGACACAGAATCACAGAATTAATACGGCTGAAAAAGACCCTTGAGATCATCGAGTCCACTCTGTCACCTAACACCTCCCTGTCAACTAAACCATGGCACTGAGTGCCACATCCAGGCTCTTCTTGAACACCTCCAGGGATGGTGACTCCACCACCTCCCTGGGCAGCCCATTCCAATGCCCAGCCATTCTTTCAGTGACAAATTTCTTCCTAATATCCAACCTGAACCTCCCCTCGTGCAGCTTAAGGCTGTGTCCTCTTGTCCTGTCACTGTTCCCTGGGAAAAGAGCCTGACCACCCCTGGCTTCACCCTCCTACAGGGAGCTGTAGGGAGTGATGAGGTCCCACACCCCTGAGGCTTCTCTTCTGCAGTGTGAGCCCCTACAGCTCCCTCAGTCGCTCCTCACAGGACTTGTGCTCCAGACCCCTCACCAGCCTTGTTGCCTCCTCTGGACACGCTCCAGCATCTCCACATCCTTCCTAAATTGTCCCAGAACTGGACACACCGCACGGGATATGAGTGCCGAGCACGGGGCAGGAATCACCTCCCCGGCCCGGCACCCCGCGTGTCCCTCGTGTGCTCCCTCCCCTGTGCCATCCCCAGCGCCGCACGGCTCTGTCGCCCCGCATGTCCCCCGGCCCCAGGACGGCTCTCCCTACCTGAGGAGCCCCGGCAGGGCCGGCGGGAGGCGGCTCCGGCGCCTTGGAGCCGGGGGGCGGCTCGGCGGGGCCCGGGGAGCCGCGGCTGCGGGGCCGCTCCGGGGACAGCCCGTCGTTGCTGCTGTCCTCCTCGAAGGCGAAGGCGTCGCTCTGCCGGGGAAAGCCGCCCTGGGTGCCTGCGGGGGCAGAGGGACCACGGTCAGAGCCTGCGGGGAGCGGCGGGGCACGGGGTGAGCCTCGTGGGGAGCTAGGCCGCGCCCGCCGCCCCTCCCGGCCCTGCGTGAGGGGCACACGGGTGCCCGGGGGGCTCGGGCACCTCCGGGGGTGCACCGCGGCTGGGGGAGAGCAGAGGGGCCGAGCCATGGACAGGGGGCTTGGGACAGGGAGAGAGGAGGGGTTGGAGGAACCAGGACCATGGCACTTGTTCCTCAGGACCAGGAGAGAGGAGGGATCTGAGGAACCAGGACCATGGACTGGGTCCTGTGGGAGAGAAGGGGGATCTGAGGAGCCAGGACCGTGGTCCTTGTCCCTTGGGACAGGGAGAGAGGAGAGGTCTGAGAGCCGGAACCATGGCCCTTGTTCCTTGGGACAGGGAGAGAGGAGAGGATGGCGAAGCTGGGACCATGGTCCTTGTTCCTTGGGACTGGGGGAGAGGAGGGGATGAAGGAGACAGGATCATGGCCCTTGATCCTTGGGAGAGGGAGAGAGGAGGAGATGGAGGAGCTGGGACCATGACCCTTGTTCCTTGAGAGAGAGAGAGGAGGGGATGCAGGAGCCCGTCCCTCCAGCACAGCAGGGCCGGTGCAGACAGGTGGGACTGGTGCAGGAGGGGCTGTGCCATCCTGCTCCTCCGCTGGGCTGGGATGGGAGAGGGGCACGAATCGCCCTCCCTGAGCTGAGCACCCATCACACGCATGGACTCTGTTCTCAGCAGAAGGAGTGAGGTTGAAATCAGCTCGGAATGTGATCCATCTGCTCACAGCACAAGAGCCAACAAGAGAGGATGTGGCTGCAGGTGCACAGAGGCTCCCCATCCTGTCTCTGTGCACAGGTTTCACCCACAGGACACGGTTCAAACCACTTCTGCTGCCTGCCCAACAGCCCCAGGCTGCCCTGCCTGCACAGCTCCTACACTGTTATCTGCTAGTCAGATGGGGAAGGGCTCTTGACCCCGAGGTTTGATGATAAATAAAGTGCTGAGAAAAAAAGGGTCTCATGTGAGCCTCGGGAGAGCTGCAGGTGGGGGTAGAGGAAGGAGCAGCGTGGCCACACTCGTAATCTCCTCGTGCTCATGTCTGGCATTTGTCAGGCAGCTTGGCACGCTGATAGTGAGGTGACAAATGGGGAAATAGGAAGGGCCTGGGGACAAGCTTCCACCTGTCCCTGCTGCTGGCCTAGCAATGTGCACCTTCTCAGCGACACGCACCTCCTGCTCTGACCCCTGCCCCTATCTGAGAGATAAGGGTTATCTCCACTCCCTGTGGCTGCTGGTGCCAGGGTGGGCGAGGACAGAGCCCTGGCTCCCTGCCTGAGCTGCTGCCCAGACATGGGCTGGGGAAACGAGATCAGCTCTGTTCAACTTGCTGTCCCTGGAAAGAGGGTCTGTGTCATCTCCATCCTCTTCATCAGAGGCAGCACCCAAACAGGTCCCTGAGGAGCTGCAGCACTGCATGAGCCACCTGGGCTGCACAGGAGCTGCTGCCCATGCCTGCAGGCCAGTGTGGACATCCTCTCTTGGGAAAAATGACTCCAAGCAAGGGACACTTGTGGATCTGCAGGGCTCCTGCTGCGCTGGCAGGCGAGCGTGTGTTGGGAAGTGGTGCCAAAGCTGGGAGCACAAGGGACCTTCAGGACACAGTGACAGCCCAGAGCATGACAGGAATGTGCTGCATCCTGCTGCTTGATACCGCAGGGCTGTGCCAATGGGGAATGCTTCCCTTATCTGTCCTGCTCTCACCCAGCCCCGCCTGAGCGTATTGTTTCTCAGTCCCGTGTCCCTGCTGTAATCTCAGGCAGGATGGTGTTTGCTCCGGGCTGTTTCTAATGCACTGGGTATTGTCCTCTTGAGCGCATTGGACAAAGTGATGACAAGGACCTGGTAAAAAAAGTTCCTTGTATCACTGCTCAGCTATGCAGGGCACTGGCGGCCTCCTGTCACTGGGACGTTTGGGCTTTCGGCTGGGGTCTGGCACTTTCTGCTCACCCTGCCGGAGGTGATTAGAGGAACACGTCAGCTGAACTTTCCACTGTATAAACAGTTGAGATTCCAAGGTTAAAGTAAAATGATTTTAAACCCTGTCATCTTTCTGGTATTGCAAAAACAAAAGGCTTAACGTTCAGAAGTGCCAGTACTCATCTCCGCGCTGTGTTCGGCCCTTTGCCCCAAACTGTGAGTACCACAAGGTGCCTCTGACTCCAAAAATGAGCTTGAGGATCCTTCAGCTTGGGGCTTTCTTCTGCAGAAACCTGAGGGCTGGGATGGTGTTCCTGGTGCAGCTGCACCACCTTCTTCTCATGGCACCCTGTGGTACCAAGCAACTTCATGTTGGACCCTAATGTCCTGCGTGTTTGACCCTAAATGGGATGAAACTGGCTTACAAGGACACGTTTTCCCCAGCAATGTGATAGAAAAGCATTGTAAAAGGGAGAAATTTAAAACTGAACAAATAATTTTTAAGCCAAACTTTTTGTTTTTAACAGTTTGGTCCCGTAAATCTCTGTTTACCACGAGGTCCTGACAAGGCAGCTGGAGAGATGCTCTATTCAAGACTCAACTCATTTGCTCAGTCTCCAAACCTCAGCTCCAGGGGATAAAGTCATGCTCACACTGCCTCAAATGTTTATAAAGGGGGGGACTTTTTGAACCTTTTTTTTTTTTTTCCGCTGTTCTCTCCTTTATTAAGTGGCTGGGGAGATTTTACTTGAACTCCTTTAGTAAGTGGCTGGGGAGATTTTACTTGAACTCTCCTTAAAAATTCCTCTTCAGGCAGAGTCCTGGAACATTTCACCTTCAAAGAGGAGAGCTGCAACACGCTGGGAATGGAGCAGCTCCGGGGCCAGGCTGGAGAAACTGCTGCACATACACAGCCTGCACTTCACAGCCCCCAAACCAAGAGCAGGAATAGTTGTGGGGCAGGACAGAGCAGTGTCTGAGCCTGGAATATTTCATGTCATTTAAGATGGTTTCTGAGATGAAATAAAAATCAAAACTTCCTGTTTCAACTCTCTTTTTTGGCATCTCTCCTGTCACTCCAAGACCCTTTCTTCCCCAAAACCCTGCCATTGTCCCTAGCCCCTCTGAGCTCCAGAACAGACCCTTCAAATGGGATTATGCCAATGGAAATGATCCCATTAATTGAGGAGCTGTGAGCAACAGAACAGAGCAGCTCTCAGTGCCTCATTGGAGACCTGAGTGCCAGTTTGGACATGTGGATCCAGCCCCAGACTTCAAAAATACAGGTTGCTGCCCTGTCACTGCAGGACCCTGCTGGCTTTCCTGCTCCTTTCTCTGCTTTTGGATCTCCCTGTCCTGGCACAGAGCCCTGGTGAAATTTGAGTCACCTTTCTGCTCTGTGTTGGCTCCCACACCAGCTTCCCTGCAGCAGCGTGGGAGAAGTAATTGTGGATGATCTTTCCTCCCTCGACTGGTGGGAGGAGGTGATGGAGGAAAACCAAGCTTAAGTATGAGACAAGTGCTGGGTCTGGTTGGTAGGAGTGTGCCCTGTTTGGGGCTGCAGACCCCTGCTCATATTCTCCAACAATTTAGCACCCCAAGGATGCTCCACACCCCAGGGATGCAGCATCCTGCTCTGCTGGGTCCTGCGTGCCACCAGCACCAGTGGTAAAAAATAAAAGAGAACCCTCAGCCTTCCTGAACTGGGGCTACTCCACCCCCATTTGTTGGGATGTGGGAGCTTGGCACAGCACGAGTAGGAGAGTCTGGGCTGGTCTCACCACCAACCCCTGTGCACTCAGGTTCTCTCCCATGCTGAAGGAAGGAGTGTTCTCTCTCCATCAGCATCCCTTCTGTGCTCAAAGCCTCGGGGAGGGAAGGGGTGTAAGAAGGGAGGTTCTTTCTGGGGGAATGTGGCTGAGCACTGGTGCGTGTTTGTGTCACTGCTCTAAGATGAGAGCTCTGTGCTCACAGGCTGTGCTGGACTGGGATGGTTACTGTGAAAATAATTAAATTTAAGCAATAAAAGCAGCTCTTACATCCAGGTGGGTCACTTCCTGCAGTCAATGTGGCAGCCCCTGCCCCACTCCATGCACACACACACTCACATTCACTGTCACTACCTTTTATGGCCTCTTTCACAGCTGAGTCCACAGGAATAATATTCTTCTCCACCAGCTCCAAAGGACCCGGCCTGAGCGCGATCTTCTCGTTGAGGTCATCTGCCAGTCGGGCTCTTTTCAGCTTCATTTGGGTGGACTGAATGGACCCCTCTGCAGCCGAGTCTGAAAGGCCAAAGAAGCATCAGGACCAGGGGCTCCTGTGGGCACAGCACTCGGTGACAATGTGGTGTCCTTCAGCACAGCCTCTGGGGGCTGTGGCCAACACCTGAGCGTGGCTCAGCATAGCAGATCTGCTCTGCCAGACAGGGTGGGGCTGCTGTGATTTGGGACATGGGCCCCTCTCTGAGCCTCAGGCCCAGCTTTTCCATTCCCAAACACGAGCCTTTCTCTACCATCTCCATCTCTTCAACAAGCAATGGTGCTAGCTTGTTTTTGGGATGGAAACCCAGGGGAAAAGCAAGGCAGCAACACTGATCCAGCACTGGACCTCCTGCCTGCCAGAGGAAAAAAGAAATACAGATTGCATCCATGCTGAGAGAGCAGAGGGCAGCATTCACAGCTGCCAGGGAGTGATCTGCTTCTTCCAAGCAAGTGACAGGACTCAAGGAGGGAGGGAGGCTGCACATCCTCTCTGTCTCTAAGGATCTTGTTATCTCTGGAGATAACAATGGACACTGTGGTGTTCTGCTGTCTGTGATGGGATCCAGCCCTGCCAGCTCTCTGCCTGAGAGGGAACACCAGGATGGGAGAGGAGAGAGCTGCTGTGGCTCAGACTGATAGCAGGGCTTTTCATACAGCTCTGCTTGGGTCATTGATTGCATGGGCTGTCACACAGAATATCCAGAATTACAGCAGCACAAAAGATGTCCAGCCTTGGGAAGGTGTTACAATGACCTGCTATAGGAATTTCAGTGCCCTTGACAACAAATTCCCTGGGTTTGCTCTTCATGATCAGACATTGGCACCAGTGTGCAACAGAGTTCTCTCTCACAGCTGTTCCCTAGAGCATCTTACACTGCCAGGGATGGGAGAAAGACTGGATGGCCTTGGGACTGTGTCTGTCAGGGAATAAAAGTGTGTCCTGCTCTGGACACAATTCCATACGACTTGTCCCATTTGAGTCTGCCCTCCATGAGCAGCTGGAACAAAGTAACGGTGATGAGATTCCTGCAGGAACACAAGAAGGGCAGGAGGAGCACAAGTCCCAGGGCAGGAGACACAAGGAGTATGTGGGAGAAGCTCTTACCTTGCAGAATGTGCATATTGACCAGGTCTGACCTCTCAGGCCTGCTTCTGATCTTGTGCTTGAGATAATCTTCAGTCTGCAGAACACAAACGCAAAGTTACCTGCCTGCAACAGCACTAAGGTACTGAGAGCACCTGCCCCTGTGCCATCCCATGATTCTTTTGGATTTATTACAAGCTGAGTGAGCTACTGAATGACATTTTTCATCACTGAAATGCTGGCTTGTTCTTGGGCAGAAGCTCCTCGGAAAGGGAACAACATGCACGTGGCTGCTGACTGTTCACTGCACCCACTCTGTGCCCTTTGCCATCACTACTGGGCTTCTGATGCTGAAATGTTGAGGGCTCATAGGAAGGGTGACACCTATTCCCTGGGAGTGGTGGGCCTGCCCACCATGTCACCTCTGAGAGATGCTCCAGAATGCCCTGGCAGCAGTGGTTTTTTGGGAAACCCAGCACTCCGGAGTGAGATATCAGGCAGAACAAGTCATGAAGCCACTCAGACTCTGAACCCTGCTCAGCCACGAGGCTTAACCTTCCTGCAGCCTTGCAGCCCCTGTGCTCTGTGGTTCCCCACCCAAGCTGTGATATGGGGTTGGGAAAATCTGCTTTGCAGTCACTGCAGCTGGGCTTGTGATGGACACAAGGTCCTGGAGCCTTGTGCCAACTCCCTCATGGCTTTAGGAACAGAGAGGCACACAGAGCTACAGGAACACCATCCATAAGGGCCAAGAAAGTCAGCCTTGAGGGCAGATGACCTCAAGAATACAAATATAAATACAAATATAAATATAAGCTTATCCCCTGGTGAAGAAAAGCTAGAGCTCAACTTAGACAAGCTCTTAGCCAAGCTGAGCTGCAAGAAGAAATAGCACAGAAATTGTACATAGTTCAAAGAGACTAAAATATTAAGGATAAATATAAAAGAATAATACAAGCAGCTGGAGCAAAATTGGAAATCCATAGTACAAAATGTACAGGATCATAAGAAAAAGATCTTATAAGGACTTCTGCAGCCAGGATCAGGCAATGGAAAGTGCTGTCTGTGTTCCATAAACAGGAGAAATAATTCTCAGCATACTGCTGAGATGGCTACAGGATTTAATGCCTTTTAAAAACCATCCTCACTAAAAAGACAAATGGCTCTTTATCAAACAGGTGGCTCAGCCAAGAGCCTTCAGCAAGAAAAGAGAAGAAACCCCAGTTGTCAGGTTGGAGAACAGGTTAGAGGGTACTCAGAGGAGTTAAATGTTCCCAAACAATTTTGAGACACACAAGGCTGGATTAATAGCAGCTATCTATGGTTCTCTGGGAAACTGGGCAAAGGAGAGTGATTAAAGGAGATGGGAAGAAGAAATCAGGAAACTGTAAAGCAGACAGCAAGATATTGGACCCAGTAATCAAGCAATCTATATAAATGAATTTTGAAGATAACATGGAGGTGAGCAACAGCCAGGGTGGATTTATCAAGAACAAATCACATCACACCAACCAAAATTCCTTCTATGGAGAAATGACAGTTTTCTGGTACAGCAACAAACAATGAATATCATGCAGCTTGATTCAAAGCATGTTTTGACATTATCTCCCATGGCTTTCTCACATGCAAGCCAGAGAAATTTGGTCTGGATAAGACTAATATAAAAAAGGAGCATAGCTTTGGATCACCAGAGGAATTGGAAATGGCTCAGAGTCTAAACAGAAGAATAAATCAAATCCTGTTACAAAGCAATTTTCCCTGCTAGTCAATATATTAGTTAATGTCTTGAATGACAGAAGACACACTCCCTCGTTCTGAATCATTCAAGGCTAACTGATTACAGTGCACCATGGTTTGGCACAACAGATGATCTGAAATACACGTGCTACAGTTTCAAGAAGGACATTTGGGAAGGGCTGTGGTCAGGTCACAGCCACAGCTAAACCAGCAGATTAAGCACTGCAGTGGATAAAAACTTAACGCACCAGAGATGCTCCTGCAGTGGTCACTGGACAGGGCCTTAAGCAGAAATTAGTTACTCCATGCATTGGAAAAGTATAAAAGGCTCTGGAGAATGCAGTGGTCAGCAGCTGACCCACAACCCCAAACCAGCAGGGGAGACAGCACAGGCTGTCAGCTCAGCCCTGTTCTGTGCCCTGCAGCTGAAAGGGCCCATGGAAGGGTCTGGGCAGCAGCTGCAGACATCACCCCTGAGTCAGAGATGAGACCAGTGAGGGGGCTGAGGGGAGGGGAGGTGGGTCAGCCCACAGGTGACATGGCTATTGGGGCACAGCATGCAAAACAGCTTTTAAAAGTGCTGCACGAGAAAAGAGACACAGCTCTGAATATACACACAGTAGTGTGCTCAAACCTCAGCAGAACAGCTGGGGCTGGGAATCAGGGGCCAAGAGCTCCCTGCACAGCTCAGAGAGCACCAGAGCAGGTCACTGGCACTGGTCAGTGCTCATTAGCCAGGACCTTGTCACTCTCTACAGCTCCCTGAAAGGTGCCTGTGCTCAGGTGCTCTTTCTCCAGGCAGCACTGACAGAACCAGAGGACACAGTCTCAAGCTGCACCAAGGAAAATGTAGGTTGGATATTAGGAAAAAGTTATTTACAGAAAGGGTGATAAAGTTCTGGAATGGCTGCTGGGGAGGTGGTGCAGTCCCCATCCCTGGGTGTGTTTAACAAAGCCTGGATGTGGCACTGGGGGCCAGGGTTTAGTTGGGGTGTTGGGCTGGGTTGGATTCGATGATCTTGAAGGTCTCTTCCAACCCAGTGATTCTGTGAATTCTCTGAATTCTGTGACTCTGTGAATTCTGTGACCTGCCCAGTGGGGCTGTTCTGCTCTGGGGCAGAGCCACGACAGCCACCCTGCAGCCCCTGTGTGCTGAGCCAGACAGCCCCAGGAAAGCCAGCCTGCTCTCTGTCCTCCACCCCAGGAATCTATTATAGGACATCAAAGTCTGCTGTGCTGGCCTGCTGCCAGCCTCTAACATAGCCAGTGACATGTTTAAACAAATAATAGACATTTTATTTACTAAAGTCTTTACAACGCCTTACCCTTCCCCCATATTTTTCACAGCTTATTTCCAGCAACACAATCCCGTGCTTGGACCATGTGTGGGTTTGCCTGGTCCCTGTGCCAGGTCAGAGCAAGCTGGTGTCTGCACCTGAGTGCATTTAAACTCACATAATGCATTTCCAGCTAATCCTTAGATCAGGTCCTGACTTGGGCTCAGCTCCAGCTGCTGTCCCACAGCTGTGTTCCTGCTGTGACTGCAGTTCCTTTGGACCCTGGCTGTTAATAAGCTGCATTTGTGCCTCTGGGGTGCAAATGATGAACCCTTCAGATGTGAGCTTTTTTAACATCAGCTGAAGCAGAGGAGCTTTCACAACACATGAACAGTTATCTGCTTTCTGTTTGCACAACATCAGCTTGTGGGAATATCAGCTAAACAACAAATGTCTTGGAGTAACTGTCTGGAAACAGCTGCTGATCTTCCCCTTCCCAGGTCTAAGCAGGGCAGCTTTGCAAGGGAATAATGTTTATTATGGGCTGTGCTCAGTGTCTTCATTAGCACTTTCTAAACATGCCCGTGGTTTGGGATAGACTAGACCATCCTTCCCCTTTCCCCAGGCAACTAGCCAGTGAAAGCTTTTGAAGAGAAAGACAAAGAGACACAAATGTATACTTTAACTGTAAAATATATGACACTTCAAGGATACTTTGGATTGCTTGAAATTTTTTAAGCATACTAATCTTTCAGAGTCATACTGTATTTCTTATGCTCGCCATTTATTACCACGGGGGACTTGGGGCAAGTGATTTGGAGTGTGTTTAAGTTCAGAAGAGCACTTCCCTGTATTTCACAATCATTCTTCCTTGCAAAGCTCTTTCCTATGTGACTGCAAGCACATTTTGCAGATTAATGGAACAAATTCTTGTGTTCAAGCAAAACCTGCATGATTAATTGCTTCCCTTTCTGGGATCATCCCTCCAGCGTGATCACGGCTGCATTGTTGGTGATTGGAAAACCAATGTGATTTCCCAAAAAGTGATCAGATCACAGAATTTCAAAGTGTTCTGGAATGGGCTACTGCCTTTGGCAGTGTTTAGGGAAGCCTGGGGTGGGTGGGAGCCTGCCCCTTTTCCCCCTTGGATGTTGTGTCCTAATGGCCAAGCTGCACTGCAGAGCCGAAAGCCACAGCTCCTGCCTGGTGACAAGTGTGAGCTCCCTGGGGACTGGCTGCAGGTGGCCTCTGCATTCCCCCTGCACACTGTCTGACCTGTTCCCTGCTCTCACCTCGCTGCCAGGGGTGCAGAGCAGCCAGCACAGGAGGAGCAGGCTGTGGATGTGACCCTGGGGGGAAGCAGCAGCTCCAAGGACTGACAAAGCCATGCTGAACCCTGCCCTGCCCACAGCCTGCTGTAAAACCCCACAGATGCTCAGCGCACAGATGCCCCATTTGCCCTTTTTTAAAACCATCCCTGCTCAGAGAAGGGTGCTCCAGAGCATTGGTGAGCCTGGCAGCATTTCTGGAAGCAGAGGAGGTGCCCTGCCCCTCATCCTTGGCCACTGGGCCAGCGTGGAGGGTGCCAGAGGAGGGGACAGTGGTGGAAGGTGCTTCCAAACCCCGTGCCTCATGCAAAGCAAGCCCATGTGTTCCTCTTTGGGACGGCTGCAGGAGTTACCTTGGCTCTCTCCAGACTTTTTCGCTGTTCATGGAATGCAGATGGGCTTTTCAGTGCTGCAACAGGAAAGAAAGAGGAGCAGTCAGCACAGGAGCGGAAGCAAGCAGCTACCAGGATATTCAGCAACAGCATTTTAATGAGTGCCATAAAAATAGCAACACAAACTAGCTGTTCTCTTTATTGTGCTGACTAAAAATAACTCAGGAAAGCTCTGGGAAATCCCATGCTCTCAGCCAGTCCATGGCAGGAGAGCAGGGGCGATGGAGAGCATGGGGAGAGCAGGAGGCACGTGGGCAGGGAGGGGTGCAGGCTTTGAAACACAGTGCTCTGTGGGACACGTCAGAGAGCAGAGAAACCTTTTCCCTGTCATGTTCCCTGCAGGTGGTGGAAGGCACCAGAGCTCCAGAAGACAGATCTGGGAGGAGCAAACACCTGTGAGGGACCTCAGCTGAAAGTAAAACCTGCAGGTGACTGAGGCTTGAGGTCAGCAGGAGAATTAATACCTGCCTCAGCTCTTGGGTCTGGTGCAGCCTCCAGTGAGGCACTGCCAGGTGGCCCTTTGTCCCTCTCCTGTCACTGACCATGACTGACATTTGTCCTGTCCCCTGCTCAGAAGCAGCTGTGTCACATGGGACCTCCATGTCCTCAGCATCTTCTGATTTCAAGGAGGATTAGCCCAGTGGTGCTCCCAAAAATAGGCAAATAATCCCTGGTGGCTCTGGGACCAGTGAACACCAGTCCCATGGAGCAGCCTGTACTGCAGTCATGGAGAATCTTGCACATTTCCCTTTTTACTCTGGTGCAGTAGAAACTGAGGCAGAATTTGCATGGTTAAGGGGTTAATACTGCTCACATCCTACAAAAATTATTTTCTGTCTGTGTAAGCAGACAAAACTAACTGTTCCCATTGGGACAAGGAAGGGGAAGGTGTCCTGACCCACAGAAATAATCTGCTGCAACTCTGTCTGGCAACAGAAATTCTCTTTCCATCTTCTGAATGGGATCCAATAAAGACAGAAATTATTTTCATGCAAGCCTTGTTATCCTCCATCAGTCTAGGGGAGGATGAAAAGAAGACTGGGGAGAAACAGGAAAGCTTTAGGGGCCCTCTAAATTGACTTTTGGTAGTCAACACCCAGGCAGCCCCTGGAACACCCAGTGAATGACAGCAAACCACAGAAGGCACATTCCTACTCCTGCCAGTTGGAAAGCAGACAGACAAACAGACAGACAGACAAGCTGGTGTTGCTGTGCCACGCTCCAGTGAGCAGCCACCAGCACTGGTGACAGCTGCTTTAATCAGAAGCAAAATGAAACAGTGCACATGAGAAAATGGAGTTAGCAAGAGAGATGACTTTCCCAGCCCTGCTGATGTGAGGTACTGGCGTTGGCAGTGTGCTACAGGCACTGACCAAGTGCTGTGCTGTTCCAGAGGAAAGTGCTGCAGAGTTTAGTAATTTACCAAGATTTTTGGAGGAATTATGGGGGTGCTGCAGCTTGTGCCAGTCTGCAGAACAAATAAAGACATTGCTAGCAATAGCAGTTCAGAGAACTTCTCAGGGGATGAGATTTCAGCATGAAATGGGTGAGGGGCTGGGGGCACGGGGCAGGGGTGCTGTGTGTGGTGTTGATCACCTGGGGACAGCTGTTTCAAGGTTTCAGTGAGGATGAGGTGGTGGCTGTGTACAGCAGGAGGGCCTTCAAGCACAGCTATTTTTGCAGTCCATCACAGCCAGGGGGACTCACCTGCTGGTCCTCAGAACCAACATGGCATGGGAAGATACGGTTAATAAAGACTTGTTTTTCCTAAGGAATGTCTGCACATGCCCAAGCCGTGGGGAAACTGGCTGGGGCTCCCATGTATTAAATGCTAACATCTGACACTTCCTCTTGATGTCAAATTCAGCAGTTAAATTCTGCGTGTTTGTTTTTATAATGGCATAAGTGCCTTTTCTTCTATTACTTTCAGTGAGTGAACCGTGCTCAAGTTTCCCAAAATGGTCTTCTTGGACAGAAACCAGACTGCAAAATGTCAGCCTAGAAGTTGGGAGTGCAAAGAAGCTGTAAGTAAGAGGAAAATACCCTTCAGTTGCCATCAAATATGTTTGGCTGAACACTTTGCAATGTGTAAGGTTGGAGGTGTCGGGTGCCACGTGTGACAGTGCAGCCTTGCAGAGCAGCCCCAGGTGTACAAACATCTCAGGGAGCACTGCTGCCCCATGCTTTTGCATTGTTCTAACAAATATCACAGCATTTTTTCTAAAGCTTCAGCTCCTGGAGTCTTGTGATCAAAGGGCCTGCCCTTTCGTGGCAGGCAGCATAAAATCTGGATGCTTAAAGAAAGAAGCAGGTGAAAAAATGAAAGTATGCGTTTATCAGTCTTAAAATCATTGACATGATTTTTGTCATCCTGCTCAAGTTTTCCTGGTTCCTGGTGCTGACAAGAATGTCCTCAGAAGGAGTCTGTTGTTCAGCACAATCCTCCAGGAGGGACAGGGGAGGGACAGGGTGCAGCAAGCAGTGCCAGAGCCATGCTCTTAGAGAGGTGACGTTCTGCTGCTCAGGCAGGAGCTCCATCACAGTCTGCAAGGGCGACCAGAAGAGACAGAAGTGACACAGCCTCTGGAAAATTGTGATCTCAGCAGTGAACCCAAGGGGTCCTTGATGAGACAGAAAGGATAATCCTCTACCTGGGTCCCAGGTAAGCCCAGATTTGCACATGGAGCCTGAGCTAGGTCAGGATGGAGTATTCCACTGAGCAGGGCTGAGCTCCCAACATCCTTTCTCCAGTGCTGCTACAGCTTTCATGATGCACCTGCAGGTGCAGAAGGGGATGGTTTTCATTCACTGGCTCTTTGGGCTCTAGCAACTGACTTTCTGGTGCAGAATGATTTCATGAGAACGCTGTCCTGGGGTTTGTCCTTCAGCTGGAATGCCAGGTGAGCAGGGGAGGGTGGGGTCAGAGGGGAACACATCTGTCACCCTGCAGCAAGCAGCCCCCATGGCCTGAGGTGGGCACTGACAGCTCTGCCCTGTGGGGCCCTGCCTGGCACAGATCTGGGTATGTCCCTGTCCTCCAGGGGTTGCCTGGGCAGTTCCCAGAGCTGCCTTCCTCCCCAGCCTCCTGGAATGAGCCCCCTCATCCTCCTCCTTGTCCTGTCACAGAGGTTCCTGGCCTTTACAGGACAGGAGATTTTCTGTGCTTGCCTTGTGAACAGCTTTGTAAGTCCTCTGCTGGAGCTGGATGTGCTTGTCCTGTTACACCTCTGGGACGGGGAGCTCTGCAGCTGAAATTTTGGATGGTAAGCATCTCTCCTGACTTCAGTTTGAGCAGGGCCATTACAGTCTGTGTGATAAATGCACTGTGCAGCACCAGGGACCATCACATTTCTGCAGTGCCCCTGGAAGCTCTGAGCTGTAGGGTCTGAGCAGGCAGCTGGTGCCACACAGTGCCCCAGCAGTGCCCAGGATGAGCACAGCCCTCTGAACCAGGATGAAGAAGGCAGAAAAGATACTCACGTGGCATGATGCCTTGGTCTGCCAGCTGCTCACGGGTCCTTCTCTGCTGGAGCCGGAGCTGTAAAACTGTGAGAGAGAGAGAGAGTGTCAGGGACAGGGGCAGGATTGAACAGGGACAAAGGTGCAGGGTTTGTGTGAGGCACACAGGTCTGGCACTGATCCCTGCTGCTGCTGGACCAGCCTTGTGAACAATTCAGCTCATCCCATCACCCTGGGAACCACGCCCTTGAGTTAGGGTCTTATTCTACACCTTTGGTTTTGCAAATTTGTCTTTGAGAGGACACCTGTATCACAAGGTAAAACACAAAGCTCAGTTCCCTGCTTTCCTGCTGGAAGTTCAGTACAGCTTGCCACAACGACAGACACCTCAGTCACAACAAAAGCACACACTTCCCTGCCCACCAGCACAGCCCCAGGCTGCTTCTCCTCAGCTGCCCGGAATGAGCTGGGGTTGGAAGGAAAAGAAAGTCAAGAACAGCATTTTTGTCCTTGGGAGCAACCTGCTCTGCCAAGAGCTCATGTCTACAACACAGCTTTCCTGGGATGTGGGATGGAGCTGAAAAATAATCCCTCCCAGAGCAGTCCCCAAAGCATGGGGCTCCCTGAGATGCCATAGCTTGTGACTTTTCCATGTCCTCTGTACAAGCCATGTTTCACATTCAGAGCAAATGTTTAGTGAAGGCTTCCTATGGGACAATGATCTCCTGCCAAATTCCAGCACTTCTTTGGACACCAAAGATAGATTCTTGCTGTGAGGGAAAAATGTAGCCTTCAGTATGTGGTAAAGTCTGTGTGTGTGCTGCTCTTCTGAACGCAGGCTGAAGCTGGTGGCTGAAGTCACTGGCAAACCTTGCTGCCAGGGGGGTTTGTAACCCTCCTCTGCCCCATGGCACCACCCTCAGTAGGTGCTGGTTCTGCTTGTGGACATGGATTTTGACCCTCACTCTCAGGTACCTACACTGCACCCAATTATCTGCAGAAGTCATCCCCTGAGGGACCCTCAAAACCAAATGGGACAGTTCCTGCTCTGGGAATGCCTGTGTTTCCTCCTGGGCCGTGCAGCCAGGTTAAAGGTGACCAGCTCCTGGCTGGGGTCTCACCCAGGGTGAGCTGTACCCCAGTTTCTCTGCACAGAACCTTCTCTGTCACTGCTCACAGTACTGTGCAGAGCTTGGCACTTTCCCTGAGGGAGATGGATCTTTATGGAACAGGTGAGCTAAGGGAGGTCAGAAACTGTCCAAGAACAAAAGCAATTTGCCACTCACCCAAGAATGGCTCTCTACTCTCCTAGTCCTGCTCCAGTGTCCCAGGCATTAGAGCAACCTGCCTTCAGCTGAGGCAATTTACACAAAACATCAATTATGAACAGGAATCAGAGACAGCAAAGCCTTCTCCACTCACACACACCACCCTGCCAAGGACACAGCAGTGCCCCAGCAGGCTGTAAAATATCCCGAGTGAGGATCCTCCATCACTTCCCTTCACAGCTCCCACGGGTGCCAAATTATTTGCACCATTTCACTCCAACTTCCGACACAGCCAGGCCGAGTGCTGTGCCACATCCACACAGGCAAGGGGATTCCAACAGTCTGTGCATTCAGGGCCCACATTCCCTGCTGCTCCTGCTTGTTTCACAGCCCTTCCTAGCAAACAAACAATTCAGCAGCCCCCTGGAGCAGGCAGCTGCCAGCCAGGCTGGTGAGGAGAAAAAGGAGAGGGTACAAATCCCCTTGGAGCATAGCTGGGAAGGCGATGATGATTTCCCGTGCGGTGGGTGTAGGATTCATCATCTGCCCTGCTGCAAGGAGTGATGAAAACCTGTGGGTCTCGCTGCCACAGCTCTCCCACTGCAGGAGCAGCACTTGGGCACCCAGATCCTCCAGAATCCCAGATCCCAGTGCCTGCCAGGGAGCAGGGCACAGGCTGGGGCATCCCCACCCTGCAGCTGGTCCATGCTCCACCTCACAGCCCCTCCTCTGCCTCCTGCCCTACTGAGACACTGCCACAGAGGGGTCTGCGACTATGGAATGATAATTTTGCGTGAGGAGTGTTACTGTTAGGTTGGATGTGACATACATGCACGTGATTAGGGTCTAAGAAGAAAAAATTTTTATTGTGTGTGTTCTCCAGCTTATATACTCTTAACAAAGCATGATTTTAAGTCATTAACTACATCACAACATTATATTCATTGGTGCAAAGCAATTAGCGTCAGTATAATTGGCAAAAGTTTTTAATAAGGCATGAATACACATCTACTTATGCACGTAGCCTAGCTTACAAAAATGTTCATGTATCTTTTCTAATCTGTTTCCATGCTGACGGCCTTGTCTGCTTCCTTGCTATGGATAGACTCGAAAATCATCAATTGTTATTTCTTCTATGAACTCAACTTGGCTTGCAGGCCAGCTGTCAAGCCCCTCCATAAAGGAGGAGAAAAGGTCTCCAGTTTGGGTTTTTGTGCTGAGGGGTAGAAAGGCTGTGACCCTGCAATGTCAGCACGCAGTGCTCTGGTGTGAGAGCTGAGCAGTTCCATGGGCAGGTCACTCCCCTGCACAGGGAGTTCATCATGGGTCATGCTGAGCTTACAAATCTCCTCAAGTCTGGCCCATCCTTAAGCTACAGGGCAAGGAGGAAAATTTTATGCTGTCAAATAATGTGAGGACAAGCCAATGCAAGTACCAGCCACTTCCAGGAGCAGCACACACTCAACAGTTGAAAGAGTTACTTCAGCCACCAAATATTCATCTCAGTCTGGATCTCCTCATGCAATAGGATGCATGACTTGAGGAGATTTGTGTCAGAGTGGCTCTGAGTGGGTGACAAGCCAGCCAGCCCCCTTGGTGCTGCCACAGCAGGGTCTCACAGGACTTTTCTGGAGCTGCTGTTTTGCAAAACCACCTTGACCAGACTTTGTCTTGAGCCCCTCCATGGATCTCAGCCCGTCTGCTCTGCCCATAGCCATGAGCCACAAGGAGATTTCTCTGTAACATCGTGTCTCCAGGCCCATGCTATCCTTAACATGACCTCTGTAGGACCTGTGTGAGCAGAGATGAAGCTGGAAATGGCACTGTTCAGCCAGGAGAGCCCTGGTCATCGTTTCCCAGGTGGGCACTGCTTTATCTCTGCCTGTGATGACTTCAGAGCTGGGAGCATTTTACTTCTAACAGACAGATGTGCTGCAAATGTGTGTGTTACCTGGGAGACGGCACTGAAAATCTCTACATGGGTGAGAAGTACATTTCTAACCCCAAATCCAGGTCTTCAGGTACCTTGGAAGAGACACTAGGCTAGCACAGCTGGCTAGCAAGGAGCCCAGACCACCAAATGGGCACAACCAGCTGTGAAATCCCTCAGAATCCATCATGATGTGCAACCCCAACCTCACCATGGTCCTGAGAAGGCTCTCCCCTTGGAGTCACCCCTTCAGCACCCCCATGAGCAGCCTGGACAATATCCCCTGAAGCACAGTGAGTTTTGATCTGTGCTACAACATGGTTGACTGACAAAGAAACCTGACTGCCCATTAAAACACTGAAGGATAAGATGCCAGAAAAATGAAACCAAGCACACACTGATCTACACCAAGTCAGTGTTTTACAAAAACTTCAGAAAACTGCCTCAGCAGCTGCAGCAAAGCCATGGTTTGAACACACACACACACACACACTGACTGTGACCTGTATGAGTTCATGATCTGAGAGGAAACACAGGCGCATGCTTTATCTTTGGACACCAGGAAAATCAAAATAAAGGCTCTGCCAAAACGCCTGGCCAAACACCCTACCAAGACCTATTCTCTTCTGCCTTTATTGACCTGCTGATTTTGGTCCAAATCGCTCTGGCCACCGGAGGCAGACAGAATAAATTCCTCTCCCATCTCAGTTTCATTCAGGCCCTATGTGTAAGCAGGAATTCTTTCCTCCATGGAGCCAGGCAAGTCTTCTCTGCAAACCCACACCCATGTGTACACAATTAGGTCTTGGTACCCCATGCCAAGCCATGCAGAGCCTTATTTATAATGTTAAACTTTCACTTCTCACCAATTATCTGAATTACCACTGAAGTTAGGCAGATGTTGGCCTTGTAAGCTCTTTCCATGTAGCTACAAAAAAAAGGTCAGGGCTAAGGTTGGATCTGCATTTGTCAGCTTTGTTTGCTTTGTCTGATGCCAAAGCTTCTCCACTGCTGGAGGACAACTGGTTTGTACTGAGAGCAAGAGATCCCATAAATGATCATCTCTGGGAAGAGTTAAATGTGTTTCTGGAACAGCACTTCCATGTCCTGTTGATTTAGTGCAATCCCATTGATAGTTGGATCGTATGGGACAGCATGGCAGACTTGAAGAATCATCCTGCAAATTCCTGCAAAATTTGTCAGGATGACCTGGGATCAGAATATTTATCTTTGGCCAAATAGACAAAATAAAGAGGCACACAGCTCCTTGAGGAAGGGAAGCAGGACCCTGCAGGACTGCAGCGTGGTGGTGATTTTCTCTCTCCTCTGGGGCAGTTCAATGCCTGGCACTGGGATAGCCACTGTCCCTCCTCATGGCACAGCTGTGCTGGTCCTTCACTGGGACCACTGGGGAGACAAGAACAGCAGAAACCACTGTGGCACTCAAGGGATGATGGCTGGGCACGCTGAGAAAAGCCACAGCCACCACCACAGCAGCCTTTCCTGCATAAACACACTTCTGCTTGCTGCTGATGCTGTCGGATAGAAGTGAGGGACAGGAGAGCTGACCCTGGAGCCACACCACTGCCACCATCTTCTAGCTGCCACCTCCTTGCTCCACTTTCTGCATAACACAGAGATCAAAGGGATTCTGGGAGGAGGAAACAACAAGTGATGTATCTCCAGCTCCTCTAAACGCACTCACATAACTCCTTCAGCTGCTCAGCGTGCGCAGGCCAGCGAGAGACAGCAAAAGTTTAGTTATTAAGATTTACTTCAGCCTTCTTTAATATTGGCCTGGAATCCTTCAAAAGGGATTCAGACTCATCATGAGTCATGGAGCACAGCTAATCCTTCCCAAACCTGGGGAGCAAACAGAGCCTCACACCTGCTGGCCAAGGAGCGTCCCCAAAGCGATGGAGCACGGCTCAGCAGGGCTCCTTGGGGCTTGGCATTTTTGGGGCTGATCCCTCCTGCCTCTGTGCAGGCTACACAGCTCTGGAACTGCTGCTGTCCCCTGTCACAGCCCCTGAGCCATGCAAGACAGTGTGGGGCACAGCCCATGGGCTGTTTGAGGCGCTCAGCCCTCTTCCAAGCGAGTGGAGGATGGTAAATCAGAGCTCTGCACCTCCTGCCATCCCTGTGGGGCTTCACAGCTGACAAAGCCTGCACACAGAGCAGGGACACCACGGGAAACAGCCACAGAGGCTTTGCAAATAAAAGATGTTCCATTAAATATTAGCTTTTTCTTCTCTGTTCCTCGTGTTATTAAAAATCCAGCGCAGACTGAAAGCTGCTTTATTGACTTATTTGGGTTTCTCAGCATCCTGATCTCCTCCCTCCCCACACTGTGACAACCAGGGCTGTGCTGTGGCCATGTCCCACGATACCAGCGGTCACAGCCTTGGGGACAGCAAGGTGCAGACACTCATTTGGGATGCTGGTGAGCCCAGCTCCAACAAAATCAACAGGCAGAGAAATCTTGTCAAATGGGAAGGCTGCCTTTCAGCAGGCCATAGCAAGGGATAGCAGTTGTGGGAATAAATCATGAACCAAAGAATGCCCCACAAATTAACTGTCCTAGAAATGCTGAAAGGCACGAGAATTTATGGATGCAAAGACCCACAAAGTTTACTTTTCCTGGAGAATCATTTGAAAAATATGTTTAGAGGGCCCGCTGTTGGTTCCATAATAAAGCCAGCTTACAAATAAACCAGAAATGAGCCTTAAAAACAATCCTGGTTCATTTGAAAAGAATGCAGGGACAATGCACAGCCCGTCCTCCGCTCCTCAGGGAGGTGGCAGTGTTGCTTTGTACATGCTGGAGGAATTGTTACAGACTGAGATTTTTTTCAAATGAACAGCAGTGCACCATAATATACCAACAAAATTTAAGGAATGACTTAATCTAATGAAATGTAAGATCAGAGCGATATGGAAACCACACCAAAGACCTGGACCAAGGCTTTGTATAATTCAGCCAGACTAGGACACTTGTGTTTGCACACACACTCTGGGGTTTTCAACCAATTGCCAACTTTGTATTTGCTGAGAAAACAAAGTTTAAGTTGACCACCCAGCTATCTAAGAGATCCTGATAACAGCACTCATGTCTCCCATCAGTACCATAAATCTCCCATTTCATTATCTACAATGAGTAAGGAGGCAAAAACACACACGGCGTGGGTGACATGCCAGAGCGGGTGCATGCTCCAACGTGACTGCCCTGCCTGCATTTAAAGCATCCCGTACAGCACATGCAGCTGATTTATCTGCACATCCTCACAGATAATATTCCCAGGGAGAACTGCACCTCCAGGAAGGTCAGAGAAAGCACCTTGAGAACAATTTTTTTTTTGGCGTTACTGTTGAAATTTACAAAACAACAAGTCAAGACACCCGGTCCCAAGGAGAGCATACTTACTATAGATGCAGCCAGTGACTAAAGGCATGAACATCCAGCAGAGGGGCTGCTCTAGAAGCGACTGTCCCATAGTTCACCTTCACTCACCTTCACTCAGTGACTGTCCCTGGAGAAGCCCCTGCCTGGTGCTTCCCCTGCCTCACGAGCTGGAGGCATGTTTTACTGCGAGCCCTCCGCGAGCGGCAATCAATGGTGCGCCTCTGGTTTTATTTCTCTGATGATGTCACTTTAAATACTTTTCATGTTCCATTTGTTATTTTTACTTCTAAAAATGACGCATTTCTTCAAATTCATTTTTCTCCAATTAGTCACAAGTTAACGGAACAGGCTCGGCTGCCTGCCTGTCAGAGAGGGTGTCAGGCCCGTCCTCTCCGTGCTTATCCCACCCAGACCCACAAGAGCACCTGGAATATACGGACAGCATTAGGCACCTTGTTTATCCCAGATGCCCTTTTGGCTTCCTGCCCAAATCCTTCGCAGCAGGGCCAGAGCAGGAGAAGCGGGAGCTGCAGTTTTACCGAAATCAACCACAGACATAAATCAAAGACAGTGAAAAACCAGGAGGAAAAGAAGCAAGAGAGAAGAAGGAAGATGAGTCTCTCCACTTGTGGAACAGCCTCTGTAAGAGCAAAGCCGTGACAGCTCCACAACCCCTCGAGTCTTTTGCTCACACGCTGCTTCCGAACATTTAATGCAAAACAGTCTGTGCCTACGGCTTGACAGAGAGAGAAGTTTTAAGAGAAATCTCAAGGTTTTCCCTACCTGATCTGAACTTGCTCCGAATCAGCAAGGAGTGCTCAGATCCCAGGAGAGTCATGGTGACTCGGGGACCAGATCCAGACGCCCCTCACTTAAACCATTAACTTCCTCCACAGGGAAAAGCCGACCAAACCGTGCCTGGTGCTCAGGATTCATCCAGCTCTCCTGGACTCTCGGGGTGCTTTTACAGCCGGCTGGCAAGGAGCAGCAAGTGGCTTTGTAAGATTTGGTCCCATCCAGCACTGACCCTGCACAGACACCGACTGCTCCCCCTGTGCTGTGTTGAACTAATTAACGTGGAGCCAGCGGGAGCCTCCTCCCGCCCGGAGTTTACTACCAGCAGCTGGGTGTCCTGGCTGATGTCATCGTCTAGCGGGGAGCAGCGACTATCGGAAAGGGTCTTAGCAAAGACAGAAGTTTGATATCTGATCCTAATTACTACCGGCCGTACGCAGCCAATCCGGGCGCTCCCCGTCTCCGCCGGCTTTGGGAGCCGCTGGAAATATCAACAGAGCCAGGGCTTAACTCTTTGCAGCGTGGTGGGACACGGGTCCCGCACCTCTCTGGGGCTGGGGGGCTCAGTTCCCAAAGGTGAGGGAGGGGCTGGGGCCAGAGGATGGCTTTGGGAAGGTCGTCCCACCTGAGCGCTGCCTTGGATGCGCTCCCGGCCAGGGCGCACAGGACTGTCCGCACGGGTCAGGGGTGGGCACGGGGCTGCTCAGGTGTCACCTGGGTGTCCCTGCTGCCGCACAGGTGTGCCCAGAGCCGTGCTGCTCTGAGAGCTCCTTTCCCGAGGGATTATCCACCTGAGATGCTCCCGTGTGCTGCAGGCACCCGGGTGGTGCCCTCCGTGCTGTGGCACAGGGATACGGGATAGGCGAGGCAGGGCTGAGCCTGGGCACAGGGACACGGGATTTGTGAGACAGGGCTGAGCCTTGGCACACAGACATGGGATTTGTGAGACAGGGCTGAGCCTGGGCACACAGATATGGGATTTGTGAGACAGGGCTGAGCCTGGGCACAGGGACACGGGATAGGCGAGGCAGGGCTGAGCCTGGGCACAGGGACACGGGATTTGTGAGACAGGGCTGAGCCTGGGCACACAGATATGGGATTTGTGAGACAGGGCTGAGCCTGGGCACAGGGACACGGGATTTGTGAGACAGGGCTGAGCCTGGGCACACAGATATGGGATTTGTGAGACAGGGCTGAGCCTGGGCACAGGGACACGGGATAGGCGAGGCAGGGCTGAGCCTGGGCACAGGGACACGGGATTTGTGAGGTAGGGCTGAGCCTGGGCACAGGGATACGGGACATGGGCACACAGAGCACACAGACATGGGATTTGTGAGACAGGGCTGAGCCTGGGCACAGGGACACGGGATTTGTGAGGCAGAGCTGAGCCTGGGCACAGGGACATGGGACATGTCAGGCAGAGCTGAGCTGTGGCACATGGACATGGGATTTGTCAGACAAAGCTGAGCCTTGGCACAGGGACACAGGATCGGTGAGACAGGGCAGAGCTGTGGCACACGAACACAGGGACATGCAAGGCAGGGCTGAGCCTTGGCTCCAGGTTCCCTGTGCCAGCGGTCCCAAGGAGGCTGAGGATGCTGTTGTAGTGGAGGATCCCTCCCCACCTGGCAAACACGCTCTCACAGGAGAGGAGCTGACTGCAAACACGCAAAATAAAGAGACACAGACCCTTTGAGGCTCCCCTTCCCCGAGCCCACATCTGGTTCACTTGGCTGGGTGATCTGCTGGCACCTTTTACTGTGTAATGCAAGTAGCACAAGCTAAGTCAAGGACAGATCTCAGCTTCCCTGACTTGTGGGTCTCACCTAGGAAGCTGCCTAAATTCCCTCTAGGTCATAAAAATACTTCAGGCTTGAAGTTTTTGTTGGGATTGTTTTTTTGGTTGTTGTTTCTTTTATTTAGTTTTACTTTATTTTAATCCCATGGTTTCTGGGAAGTACTCTGAACAGTTTGGGTTGGGGATAGGAATTTCAGGGCTTCTACACTCATCTCCCCAGAGGCTCTGATTCATCAGAGTCCCAACACAGCAGAAATTCTGGGGTGTCTCACCCTCATGTAGTCCATGGGATAGAAGCACAGAAGCATCATTTAGGTTGGAAAAGCCCTCTAAGATCACCAAGTCCAGCTGCCAACCCAGCACTGCCCATGTCTCTCAGCAGCTAACCCACACATTTATTGAACATTTCCAGGGATGGTCATTCCACCACTACTGGATGGCCTGTTCCAATGCCTGAACACCCTTCCATGGAAGAAATTTTTCCTAAATCCTGGTACAATTCCAGACCATTTCCTCTTGGCCTACTGCTTGTTACCTGGCAGCTGAGGTTATGAGGCTGTCCTGAGCTGAGCTCCCTGCTTTCCATGGGCTGGATGTGATTTCCTGCTCAAGCTACAGCTGATGGAATGGATTTTCCTTAATCACTGGCAAGGGAGAAATTATTTAAATAAATTGCTCTCCAAGCATTGAGCTGAGCTGGTAAACAGAGTTCTACTGTATTGTCTAGCAAGGTGGCCAGAGTCATGTTCCTTACTAATTTTTCCCAATGTTTAATCCACTGTACTTGAAATGTAATTCTAATGAAGTTAACATCACAATCACAACAACAAACAGACTCCAGCCCTCAGCAGAACCATGCCATGAACAGCTCAAGGACAAGGCAGGGCTCATTGCCATCCTGTGTCTCAAACTGCAGGGGTTTGTGCCTTTTTGCTTTGCAAACTCCTGTTTGATTTACTGCTCCTGCTGGCCAAAGCTCCACTCAGGTATCCCTGCTCCCTTTTCCTTTTCCTTTTCCTTTTCCCTTTCCTTTCCTTGGGATGCCAGTGGGGGATGCAGATTCATCTTTCTTAGGAGGTGACACAACCTCTAACAAGCTCTAATTTGTTGACTCATCCCAGAGAATTGCTCAGCTGCTGAACTCACAGTCCTGAGCTGGTGTTTCCCCGTGATGGTCCTTATGTGAGAGTCAGCCCTGCCACTCTCTTGGTGTCCTCAGGAAGCAGGAAAGTTGTCTCTCATAAACCTCAGAGGCCGGGACAGGACTGAAGTGCCACCACAGACACTGAGCTATTTGCCTGGCTGCTGCCTGCTTTAGGTAGCCCAGAAATATTTATCCTCCCACAAACTCATGAGTTTCCAGAGCTGACATTGCCCAGCCCTGGTGTCTTGGCTGTGTCTGCACTACTGTTCAGCTCTGAAAAGGGCTCAGCACCAGCTGCACCACCACCTTTCTCTGGAAGGTGACACAGGCACACAGGTCCCTGCAGAGACCTCAGCTGCTTCCCATTCCCTGTTCCATTGAAAACGAGGTCATCTTCACTGCACTGAGTGGAAGTGAGCCTTAAATGCCAGAATAAATTAGTCATGGCAGGGAATTCCTTTGAACTGAGAAATCACACCCCAGAGTCATAAGGATATCAGCTCTGAGCTGCTCACCAGATCCCAGGAAGCCATCCCTTCTAATCTTCCAACACACCCTATTGTTTATGGGACTGATTTATTTTAAAGCAGATTGTTTGTTTGTATGTAGATTTGCCACTATGGGAAAAAGAACAAATTGAGCTGAAGTTCCAGTGAAAGCCCTGTGGGGACTTGGAGGGGTCAGTGTGTTTTGGACATGTCTGTGCCAAAGAAGGGGAGTTTCCCCAAAGCTGGTGTTCTGCCAGCCATGTCTGCTCAGATTGTCCTCTCCTGTGGGAATGAGTCTGCTTTGTCTTTGATTTCTTTTCTCTAGCACCTGGCAGCTCCACTGGGAAAAGACCCCTCCTGCCATGGCCTTATTTCTTGAATCTTCCCAGCATGTTTTGGAAAGACAGATCTGATGGTCTGAACCCCCAGCCCTGACTCCCCATCCCCTGTGCAGAGCAGTGATAATTTGCTGTGTGCTTGTGCAGCCGTTGGTGTCCAAGGTCCCCTGGGGATGGACAGCTGTACTGGCACACATCTCCGTGCTGAATGTCCCCAGGCTGGCATAACTCTGAACCCCGAAGGGGTGGGAAGGCTGGAAAAAGAGTTGATTTTACAGATATGTTGTTCAGGAGGAGGGCATTCCTCCATTCATACCCAGTACAGAGTATGGAGCAGTAGCCAAGGGCACAGGGAAACCAGTAGCCAAGGCTCACAAGGAACTCAATCCTTTGAAGAGGCCTACAGCCAGGATGTCATCATTGTGGTAATGGAAGAAGAAATCTTTCCCTGAGAAAGAATTTTCACTGAACTGGCCATTAGTGGGTCTGAGTTCAGGGCAGATATGAACCTCCTGCTCTGAGACTGCACCAGCAAAGCTCCAGCTCCTCATGGCCTTCAGGAACCTGGAGAGAAATTATCTTCTTTTTCCATGCCTGAGACCTGGGGGTCTCACCTGGGGGTGAATTGCACAGAAAAGAGCTGGGGCTTTCACATGGCAAACAATCAGGATATTCCTGTCCATGACCTGGGACAAACAGAGGCTTTCTGAGCTGGAGCTGGTGAGGCAGCAGTGTCTCAGTGAAGCAGAGCTGGCCTCTGGGGACTAGCTCAGAAAGATCCTGGCTGTGTCCTAGCCCAGGACATGCCCAGAG